ATGACTCAAAAACTTAAGTGATTTAAACACCATTCAAACACCTTTTCCACCTCAGACTGTGGTCAGGAGTCTGGGTGTTGTGTATGGCTTCTCTAGCTCTGGRTCTCCTATGAAGCTGCTTGATTCTGTGTCCCTGAGTCGTTGGATTCAGGCCTTCATGGGCTGTTAGATTAAGGCCTCGGTTCCTCCTAAGCTCTTAGTTGGAGACCTCTAACAAGTGGCCCTCTCCATGGAGCCCCTCAAAATGTGGCGGCTTGCTTCCTCAGAGCAAGCAAGAAGATGAGAGAGCAGGGTTCCGTGGCACAGGCCTCTAAATCTAGGGCTCAGGAGTCTGAGGCAGGAGGATCTCAAGTTCAAAGCCAGCCTCAGCAACTTAGCAAGGCCCTAAGCTACTTAGTGAGACCCTGGCTCAAATAAAAAATAAAAAGGACTGGAGATGTGGCTCAGTGGTCAAGTACCCCTGGATTCAACCCCTAGTATCATTAAAAAAAAAATAAAGGACAAAGGAGTGTCCATGACAGAGACACAGCTATCCCAGTGTTTCCTAACCTGTCCCATCATGGTTGCCCTCTGTTTYTTAGAAGCAAGTCACTAAATCCTGTGCCAGGGAAGGGAATTACACAAAAGCATGAAAACCAAGAGGTGGGGGTCACTGGAGGGAGTCTCAGAAACCTGCCTACCAGGATAGTATCTCAGAAAACAGTGTGTTTACCGAAAGTGGCTGCATGGGGGCCGTTCCTGAGGCTGCGGCACCCGCTCCAGCAGCCATCACTGTGGATCAGAGAGCAGGAAGACTGGCCTTCCGGAGCACCCCTCCGTCAAACCTGCTTGCTCAGTCCTCAAAGCTCTGTAAAGGTGTGATCATCAACCAGGACATGAAGAATGAAAGGCCAAGCAGAGAAGGAAATCCCAGCACCTGAACATTTAGATGAAGCATCAGCGATACCAGAGTATTGTGATCCGCCATCACCTTGCTTCTCCCAATTCCCTGTGAAGTTGGTAAGAAAGGAATTATGGTTCTCAGCAATGGACACACGAGAAAGGAKACTTGGAGAATGCAAATCCGTGCCTAAGGTCCACAGCTAAGCCAGGTCAGAAAGCGCGGTTCTAAACCTTTGGTCTCTCAACTCTTCTYCTCATTAGGCTTCCAGACAAAGGCAGAACATTCCATCAGCAGCTACACTGCAAACCTACTGTGTGCTTTGAACCCCGGGACCTGCAAGTTTCCAGGGGCCTGCAGAGCCCCTCCYTCCCTCTCCTCTCCTTGACACCTCCCTTAGCCTTTTTGCCTCTTCATTCTTCCCATCAGCAGCTGGAGTGCCAGCAACTGGATTTCCTGGGAGTTGGAAGATGAGTGATAGACAGGTCCCTCAAGAACTCACAGACTATYAAGGGGTGATGACAAAATACTGGAAGCATTAGACAAGCATGGTTACCAGCACGCTGCAGGAACATGGGATAGCGCACATCATCTTTTTAGTACTTCCATGCAGGGGAAATATTCATCCCTCCCTCATGTCACCTGTCAGAACCCATTTGTATCAAACTTTATAATTTGGATTACTATATATACTTGTATATAATAAATCATATTTACTTCCAAGAATCCTAAAGCAAACTTTTAGCATGCATCTGAGCGTTGGCACATTAAAATATATGTAACCCCTTAGGAAATCTGACTGTGTCCAATTGAAGTAAACAACTTTCTAACAACTCCGCTATTTTCCAAAATAACAACATATTTTTCATGACCAAAAAGTGTGACAATGGCTTAGGTGCGAGGCTGCTTCTTGTGGCAGAAACATGCTGATGTGGCAGTCATTCTGCCTGTGTCCGTGCAGTGTTGTAAGGGGCCAAAGGGTTGCAAAACCACCTTCTCAACACTGTGCTCTGCTCCCAGCCAAGCCCAGACTTACCTCCCCACCTGCAGAATCGCCTCATGCATTAGGGAATTGGTCTTCTCTATATGGAAGTAGGTTTTCCCACAAGTTTTTAGAGGCATTTATATTTCTATACAAAGTGGTCTCACCTGTATCATCACTGGTTCTTTTATGGGGAAATTATTAAAGATAAGTAGAAAGAGAGTGCATAGTGCCTTTTTAGTCTCAATACTATCCCTCCATTGTACCAGGAAAACAGTCTTCAGGACCTTCAAATGCAGTTCCCTTCATATGCACCCCATTTCCTTCACTCAGTTGCTTAGTTCGAGATTTGCTAATTAGCTTTCTGCTAACGAACCCCAGCATTTGTCTGTGCAGTTTCTTGTTTTGAAAGCCTCAGCACGGTCAGTGGGAAAATCCGCATCAGAGCATTTGTCCTGTACTCAACAAGAGACGGATGAAGGGAGACGGAGACTGTTTACCTCTGAYTTTGCATGCATGTGGAGGCAGCCACTGGGTGGGGGCCAGACAGGTGATCAGAGAGAGTCGGGGGCAGCCATGAAGGAAGCCTGTAGTGCCCTGTTGATTTCCAGCAYGGAGACTGGGGTGGGTGTGGTGGGCCTGACTTCACTGTGCTCAGAATCCAGGTTGCCTTGGGAGCTCCAGGGACAAGAAGGTGGACAAGCAGCTCTGCTCAGGACAAGACCCTCCTACTGAGGAAGCAGTGGTGGAGCTGATGCTTGGCTCCAAGAGAGTTCCAATGTCACTGGTTACAGGATTTAGCTGGATGCTCATGAAAAGACCTAGGGTTAGTGGGCGTTGTATTCCTGCATCCCCCATTAACCATTCAGAAATCATTGAACATAGAAGAAAGTGGTAGGAAAGAAAGTTAAAGTGAATGTTTCGGCCATAACTCATTTCAGGAGGTCTYAGTCGGCTGAAGCTCAGGCTTTCTGATTCCAGGATAGAGCTAAAAACCAGACCCCCCACACCCTCAATGAATGAGTCTTCCAGAGAACAGACTGTGTGATTCACATGTACGTGAAACTCCAGCACTTTTTGTACCATTTTCTGAATTCTGTAGATGCAGAAGGAATGAAATGAGTCGAAAGAGGAAAAGGGTGACTTTCTCAGCACACTTTACCATGCTGTTGTGGAAAGAGACAGAAGGGGCTCATGATGAAGCTTGGTCTCTACAGAGGGCCTKCCCTGATTAATCAGAGAGGAGCAGGCCCTCTCTAAGGGGTCTCCACAGGTTTCATAGAGGCCCCTCAGGGACACCAAAAATGCCAGGTGTTCTCAGACTGGGCTGTTGGGCAAACGACCAGCAGCTCTTAAACCATTGCTGCCCCAAACCAGTCACCCTCCTCCATTTCCCGCACAGCAGAGGTCCTTGCACCCAAACAGGKGTGTTACAATCGAGTTGGATGTGTTTATATTTGAGGCCTAATGGTCTTAACTGCTTTGGGGGAGACTCTTGTGATCCAAGAATGACAAGTTCCCAAGACCAAGGCTGAAGGATAARTCTTGAYGGTTCACACARATGGCAGGGGATGCCACAATAACAGCTCCTCCAAATGGATTTCCTCAAAATGGCTTCTCGATCTTCAGTCCTTTGGTCAAGAAATAGCTAAATATATATATATGCATCCTCTTACACAGCGTCATTCTAGTCCTTAAAATAAGCACAATCTCTTCTTGTCAATGTCTAAGTTCTGTTTTTCAATAAAGTGTTGACTTGGATTTTATCCCAAAGTGGCCTCTGCTGTTTCCTAAGCTTGGGGTTTGTTTCCACTAATGATTTACATTCATTGAATTTGACTGATTTTTCATGGACATTCGCCACAATTACCTTCATCTGCATTTTTAAGTACTTAAGTACATACTTGGTGCCATAAAAGCTGCTGTTTTGATTCAGGAAGCAGATACACAGTCTTTTCCCAAAAAAGCTTAATTCTGAGAAGACAGTAAGAATTTCAAGTCATTCTAGAAGTGTGCTGGAATCCTCTGGAAGACAAGGGCTGAAAGGAACTGAGCTGAGGTGTTGGACAAATATGGCATCATAAGATCTGCATGTCACAAAGTCATTGCTTTTGACATTAGTGAGTTGTCTTTGAGGTCAACCTTGTCCTGATTCTACCAATAAGGAAAAACCAAGCYCCAAAGTTATCCCACTCGTTAGTGACAGTGTATGTCTGTTACACAGGTCTTAACTCCCTGGGTTTTTCTTTCCACTTCACCCAACCTCATTCCTGTCATTCCCCACTGGGGAGAGCTTTCTGAAGAAGAAATTTTATTTTGTCACCAAAATCATTGACACCACAAGTGTYAGGTCACAACTGTCTTCGTTAGTCAGAAAATCTGAAATTAATACCAGTCCAGTTGTGGTCTAAGGAAAATACATTTTCAAAGTCTYCAGGCTTTTGAGAATACAAAGAAAGTGGTAACTGGTTACCAGGRAACCAGAGGCTTTACATTAAGATTTTTTCTGGGTTATAATTTCAGCTTTTTTATGATTGTCGGGGAAAAGCCACATGACATAMAATTCACCATCTCTACCACTTCTGAGTGCACAGTTCAGGAATGTTAAGTAAACTCACATTGTTGTGCATAATTCCAGATTTATTTTTCTTTATAATTCATTTTTGCCCCTAACTTGATGCTTGCCTGCTTTTCTAAGTTTCTGTCAAATACTTTGGAACATGTATTTCATCATTCCAGTGGCCTGGCTGGCCAAATCCTTCCCTCAGGGCTTTTATTAGAAACCTCCTTGTTTAAATTCAAAACCTACATCATGCTTGCCTGTGGGTAGACTGGCCTTGCCGCTCACAGAATCCTGATAGAAGCCCTGCCATTCTTTTTTATTGGGGGATGGAAGGAAGAGGGGCCAGAGAGGGAGCTTTCTATTTATCTTCCAGATCCTCTTTATAGCTGGGAAGCTTCTGCTTTGTGAGTGGTCCTGACACGAGCCTAGAGGTCATTTCCTTTTATATGTAGTTTGCTGCATTTTGCATTATCATTGGTGTTGCCTCAAAATTAACAAGAGCAACGAGCAGTTATGTATTATTCATTTCAAGTGTACAAATCCTGAATTTATCTCAGGCTCCTTTTTCTTCCTAGAGCTTGCACTCGACAGCGCATGCTGAGTGGATCATTCGAGGGGCAACCGGCAAAGGAAAGGTCGATTCTCAGCGTGCAGCATCACATCCGCCAAGAGCGCAGGTAAATGCTCCAGGAAGACGGGCTTCAGAGACCCGAAGGAAAGGGGCCTTGCAGGAGTGAGCATTGTGTAGCTTCAGCCCTGGGTAGCAGGCGGGCGACGGGCGAGGAACTGAATTCTATCTGCTGGTGGTCACAACAGTGAAACTGGCAATCTCATTCGAGATTCAAACAAACAAAAACACCTTTACTCAAAAACCTTTTCCTTGGTGATAGTCAAATTCTGACTTTTAAGATCGGAAGGAGAAATTCTGAAATCTTGTTAGAGGGGATCACAGGCGTTCGGATAGACTATAAGCTTTTGCTGTAAAATAGAAGTGAGGCATTTTTGATGGTGTGTCAGAAAAAATCGTTGTTGTTGTTGTTGTTGTTTAATCCTGGTCTTTGCTTAAAACTACAGATTTGATCTTGAGATCCACTGACCAGTTGATTGTGGTTGTTTCAGGTCACTAAGACATGGATCGAACAGCCAGAGGATCAGCAGGGGGAAGTCTCTTGAAACCTTGACTCAAGATGTAAGTTCTAAGCAATGCTGTGGATTTGGGAAGCAGGGATATGTCCATGTATCTAAATAACTGCTGACAGGATTCTAGGGCCTGGATCTGTCTACCATCTTGCCATGTCTTCCTAAGACTTCATACAAGAGGAACTCAGGGAGCTCAGAAAACAAATGACATGACCAGGCACTGAAAAGTGACCACTGACATAGAAGAATCTAGATATCTCACACGGAGCACATGTTTTGGTTAACACAGACAAAAGTGATGGATCAGTTATCTTGGACTAAAATTAAAAACATTTAAAGCATTTTGTATAAATAATTTGCATTATTATCTCTGAATATTTACCAAGTTCCAACTATTCTAGAATCTAGATCCAGTGTTTATAATTTCAGAGGTTTACCCAGGAGGAGATACATTTTTTTTCTATGATCATGTTTTATGTCAAAGATTACACAGAATCTCCCAAGAATTTCTTTACTTTTAGACTCTAGGTCTCTTGTGTGTGTATTGACTGACCGAGTTTTTACTTCATGTGGGATCCGGTTCCAAGTGATAAGAATAGTGGGGAAGGAAGACAGACTCAGGACCTTCCTGGAACCCACATTCTAGTCAAGGTCACAGATAATAAGCAAGTGAGCAGATCATGGGATTTCTGAGAGTGATCTTAATTTCTTCCATCTGCCTCGTGCAGCGACAGGTTTGCTTTCTTCTGTAAAGTAATATAAAGAAGTCAAAGGTGGAGATTTGATCTCAGGGGACTTTRGATAAAATGGTTAGTGCAGACCGCCTGCCCCATCCCAGAGACCTAAACAGAGGAGTGAGACATCTAGAGAAGCCCAGGAGCAAGCCATCCAGCTGCTGGCTGTGCTGAGATGACCATGAAAGACACAGTGAAGCTCTGACTCTTGAGTTGGAGTCTGGGAACTGGGTTGAGAAGGCAGAGTCAGGAACATTCAGAGCCAAGCATGGCACTGGAGAAAGGTGAGCTCACCCAGAGAGCCAGCCAAGCATGAGGTTTTGATCCTCTGATCCTCGTTTTGCTTTTTCTCCACTGATCTCCTGTTTCTTCAGAGGTTCTGTGATGTTGAGTTACGGCTTTCACTCCCTAGAAGATGTTACTTTAGCATCTTAGACTGTCCTCATTAAGCATCCCAGGTAAAAGAGAACTGAAAGTAGGAGACGAGAACCCCTGTCTTTGTCCTATTAGCACAACTGGAATTGGCACAGGGCTCTGTTTCCGCATATCCAGGGCTCTCTCTGATGGACGACCATGTTGACACAGAGTTGTGGACAGATCCAGCCCATGGTCTGTGCCCTCAGCACTTCAGATTCAGTCCTATTGCCTGGAGAAAGTTGCCTCGGGAAAATTCAGAGGCAACACTCTTGAGAGCAGYTACCTTTGACATGATTCAATGGAAATGTGCAGTCTACAGAAGCATCGATTAGAACGTGTCTTTGAAAATATGTGTTGAAATACACACAACAGAGGTCCTGCTTGAAAAGTGCTAATTCCAGAGGCTGGTTTCTTCCTCGATGACCTTTTCTTGTTGAGACCTGTAACAAAATGCATCCCCCGTCTTCTCCATGGCAAAATGTCGTGGGGTTCAGTTATTGCATAAGATGGCCTTAGCATGTCTTTTCTCCCACGAGAGCAGACATTAAAATGAGAAAGTTTAACCTTTTCCACCTATTCTAAGTGATAGTAGACAMGGATGATTAAATCTAAGGAATGCTTTCTATGGGGTCTACTCTCCAGGTGTTTGAACAGTGGCTCCCCACCTCCTGCCGTGTCCATACAGGGACCRTCCAGGCCCTGCCTGACCTGCTCCCACACCCTCAGGACTGTCTCTTCCTATCAGCTCCTTGCTCTCTGGGCTCTTCCCCAACAGGCATCCTGGGTCTTCCATGCCCATACACCAGGCCTTTTCCCCCGAGGAGAACAGGGTTCTGCAGCTGTCCAAAGCCTGCACCCTGAGGGAGAACCACCCGTACTCCAACAAGCCACTGTTCATCCTGGCGATGAGCACCCCCACCTCCCTCTGGTCTTTCCCTCAAATARCACCTTTATATTGACTCCACTGTGACCTATTTTAAGTTACAGCTTCCAGCACTCTCTACCTCTTACCTACTTTGTGTTTTTATTAGAGCACTAAGCATCCTCTAACATACTTATTTTTATTTTTTTTTAAATCTGTCTCCCCTGACTAGACAATCAATCCCACAAGAACAGGGATTTTGTATGTGTTTTTTCCTCCTCCTGACAGATCCTCAGCACTAGAACATCACACTTGGCACATGATGGGATTTGTGATAAATATGTGCTGAATGCTTTATTTTTTAGGGGAAAAATAACTTTGCTAAAATGATTGTGACCATTTAACTATATAAATATGTGTGTGTGTGTGTGTGTACCTCATGCTATATATTTATTATATACAGCAGTTACATACATGCCATATATTATAGTTGTACATAACATGATTATATATATGAAGATGCTGATTTCAATGTTTAAGCATAATAATAATTTTTGGCCTTCAAGAAAAGTCTTTSGTAGTGACATGCCTGCCCTGGATTTATTCCTAGCACTCCAATACAGTGAGATACAGAAATGCACAAAGAGAAGACAGCGAAATAAAGATGATTCAGGAAAAAAAGGAGCAAGCGGAGATGAAAAGGTACGGCGCGCTACAGTGATCCACGGCCGTCACTTTAGCGCCGACACGTGCCCTTCACCGTCCTCTCCCCATGTCCCCTCCAGGAAAGTGCAGGAAGAGGAGCTGAGAGAGAACCACCCGTACTTCGACAAGCCGCTGTTCATCGTGGGGCGCGAGCACAGGTTCAGGAACCTGTGCCGCGTGGTGGTCCGCGCCCGCTTCAACGCGTGAGTACACTGTTCCAGCCAGGTGTGTGGCCTGGGTCGCGGGAACAGCAGGGGTGTTGTCACAGGAGGAGAAGAGACTTGTAATCCTAATGGGGTCACCAGATTAAACTGTGGGCTAATTAATCACGCTGCTCCTCTTTGCCCAGCGCCTGACCGGGYGGCAAACAAAGGTTGCGAGTAGTTAGCATTTGTAGGAAGCTCACGTTGATAAAGCCCTTGACAGCCATTTTTATTTGTGCCTTTTCACAGTTGTCCAAGACGTTTAGATCGATGTTATTAACTCTGGGTCTTATTTTGAAAATGCTGAAACAAAGGGAGATTCACGGATGGGGGGGTCGTTGTCCACATCCTTTGTCAGACTTGGAGTTTCTTGGTGATCAAAATATACCAACCAGTTTATTCTAGGATGATGTAAAATAGAAAGTTAACTAGTACTTCCATTACCAGTTGTTATGAAAAGAAAACCCACTGGCCATGGCCTCAACCCCACCAACTGGGAGAAAAGGAGAAGAGATGCTATCAGGAGGGTCAAAGCGAACAGCACTGTATTTATGGAGCCCTAAGCCAAGTTGCTCAGGCAGCCAATGCATAAAATGAATTTTTGTCAGTAAATATCCTGAAGACATTAAGAACTCTGCAGAAAGCTTTCCCCATGCCATCATTTGAGGAAACTGACCACCTTGATTGACAATCAGCTGCATATCATACTTATTCTCTGTTATAGACTGAATTATTACTCCCCCAAATCCACATGTTAGAGTCCCAACCTCCAGTAGCTCAGAATGTTTTTATTTGGAGATAGGAAATTTAAAGAGGAATAAAGTTAAAATGAGGTCATAAGGTGGGTCCCAATCCAATATGACTAGTTCCCTTATTCTAAGAGGAAGTTTGGACATGGGCCCAGGTGGAGGAAGATCATGTGAAGCCATGAAGGAGAAGGTGACTACTGTAGGTCCAGGGTGCAATTCCCGAACAGATCCTGCCCTCGTTGGCCTTGGGAGAAACCAACCYTCCTGACACCTTGATCTTGGATTTCCAGCCTCCGGAACAATGAGAAAATGAATTTCTTAATTTCTTAAGAATTGCTCAAGCCACCCAGTGTGTGGTGCCTTGTTACACAGCTCTAGGAAACCAACACACACTACCCCAACACATCAGGGCTGGAGACCTCAGGGACCTCCTCATAGCGRGAAATGGAGGCTTGGTCTCAAGGACGTGGACTCATTGCCACTTCATGGTTCTTTCTGACATTCTAGAAAGACATTCACAATTTAAAGCATCTGAGTAAAAATCACTAAAACTCCCCTGAGTTTCCACAGAGTAAAGGAAGAAGATGGCAATGTAGGCGTTGCTTTGATGAGAGCCGGGTGGGTTTTTCATCTTGAATTATCCTGTTGGCAGCAAACACGTTAACATCTAATTGCTAATTCTCCACCTCATTGAGTGTGATGCACATTCTCCTTTGTCAGCAGCGCAGATGAATAGACTGACAAAGTCTCAATTGTAATTGGGAACACGCACACAAAGACCATCAGCCTTCCTAAAAGTCAAAGTTAGAAATCCTCCTCCCAGGAAATTCTATATGAATTATTCCACAAGATCACAGTTAAAATCAGGGTGGAGAACRCTTGTTTAATTTATAGAGTATCTAACTAAATAATTATAAAGAACATCCTTGAACAACTAAAGCAAAGATTTTAAGTGAGCATTTTAAAATGGAGGTCAAAATTTAATTTTGTAATACTCAGAAATTTTTTAATCAAGTCTCCAATCCTAAAATCAAGTACTCTGAGAAATGTAAGATTTTACTTTCATAAGCTTCAATAGCAAATTTGTTGATGTTTTCAATTTAATGTTCTGTTTCTTCAGAAGTCACATGCAGTTAACATGTTTTATAAAGGGCATTTTAGGAGATTTTAAGTAGAGGGGATGTTTGTAAATACCATGCTGCCAAGTTGTAGCATGCTTGCTATGTAGCAGAATTTCATATGCTTGTTCTCTCTTACAGATCCAAAACCGACCCTGTCACAGGAGCTGTGAAAAACACAAAGTACCACCAACTTTAGTAAGTTCCATTTTCCATGTACATTTGAAGTTTTCCTGAGTTATTTTATGCCACATGAAAAAAAATAGAAATTCTCTTTTATTTTCTTGCTAGAATGACATTGATAAGTGGGGACTTATTTTTTTAAATGCCAGTCATGTTAATAGTCACAGAAGCCATTGTCTCTGAAACTTGGCAGCCTGTTCTGGAGCATTTGTGTTGTTTCTCAATTCTGTTTGGCCTTTGACAGTGATTTGCTGGGACTGGTCACTTACCTGGACTGGGTCATGATCATCGTAACCATCTGCTCTTGCATTTCCATGATGTTCGAATCTCCCTTTCGAAGGGTCATGCACGCACCTACTTTGCAGGTACTGCTACTAAATCTCAGCTCCCAGCTAGGTGGTAAAACATTGACCTGCAATTTTTCTGCTCATTGTGACCTAACTGCATATTGGCCATTTCAGATTGCCGAGTATGTATTTGTGATATTCATGAGCATTGAGCTTAATCTGAAGATTATGGCAGATGGCTTGTTTTTCACTCCAACTGCTGTCATCAGGGACTTTGGTGGTGTAATGGACATATTTATTTATCTCGTAAGTTTTTGCTTTTTCCTAAATGTAAAATGTAGTGGTTTTGAAAAGATCTCCTGCATTTCATGGTGCAAAGATGAGATGTGTGAGGTCTAGTTGCCATAACGGATTCTTAAATGGATTATAGAATAGTCCATTAATATGCAAATAAGATGCATGCATTTACTATCTAAATTAAAAACCATTAAAATATTTGTGGATAGTTGCATTGTTAAAATAAATCAACCACAATTTTATGTATGAATGTGGCATACGTTAATAAGGTCTAAAATGGCAAATCTCGTTTCTATCTCACAATTCATGTGGCTCCTATAATACAAAAAAGTTTGCATCATATAAATCATGTTGTTGATTAATGAGCCCCTTGTTATTAAAAGCAAACTGAAGTCATTTGAGTTGGGACTCTTGTCTGGAATACTGGGCCATGACAGGTGCCTCCTCAATGATCAGTTAAACTGAATCCACTTGAATCACAAGTGGATTCAAAGAAATTTTATTTTTCTTCCTACACAAGAAGCCATGAAATCAATGTCTTTGCAGGAACAAGAACTGTGACCAGTAACAGGTAGCATGTTGTGATCGTTAATAAAATAGTAGTAACCTTGTTAAAAATGAATTTGGATCATGTTAGGTCAGCAGAACCCCCAGTGCAGTAAGTTAGAAAGAGCAGGATGCACCGAGGTACACACACAGAAAGCACCCCCATGCATTTCTATATACAGGTGATGGCTCCTTGGAGACCTCTAACAGGCCCAGATTGGGCTCCCTGTTTAAAATCAGCTGGCTGCACACACACCTTTGAGTGCTTGTCRCATATCACTCATGGAATCCTTGCTAAATAAAAAGTCGGGGCCAGATGGCTCTCAGAAAACGTGGACAGTAGAGGAGCAATTGCCTAAGTCCCAGAGGTTGTCTTTCCCTGTAGGTGAGCTTGATATTTCTTTGTTGGATGCCTCAAAATGTGCCTGCTGAGTCAGGAGCTCAGCTGCTAATGGTTCTTCGGTGCCTGAGGCCTCTGCGGATATTCAAACTGGTGCCCCAGATGAGGAAAGTTGTTCGAGAGCTTTTCAGCGGCTTCAAGGAAATCTTCTTGGTATGTTAGAGCTGCTTTTTGCTTCCAGTTCGCCAGTCTAACTCTGCCATGTTGCTGATGGGGGGAAAAGTGAGTCTTGCCAATCAAAGTCAAGTCTATGGTTCTGTTCATTGCCAAGGGGTTGTAAAGGCAAGAGCAAAACAAGATACACCAGCAGAAACTGTGCCATGAATGCTTCTGTTCTGTCAATTTAGTTAATTCAATGAACATTTTTAGTAAACCAAAGAGAAACACTCTGGAAAGTATAACAAATGGCAGATCCAAAATGGTAGCATCCACTAACCCCTTAATCCTTAAATTGACTTTAATTTCTACTCTGGGTTTTAGTTTTCCCATCTAGAAATTAAGAATAAGAAGATTCCACCTCTCTAGTTCATAAACATTAATGAATGTAGGCATATAATTTTATTCTATGTGTCCCCTTAAAGCACATGGCATAGAATTTGTCTCTAGATCCTGGGAGTGTTAATGTAAAACAACTTTAAAAAATATAACACACAGGTATGCCATGCTTTAAGAAACCCCTGTATAAAGTGAAGAATACTCACCAATGTGATCATAGGGGGAACATTCTTTTTAATTAGGCAAATATTGCTTTAGGGTCTTCTTAGAACAGAGCTGGAGATAAAATGAGAAGTAAGAGACCCATTACCAGCAATCTGTTGCAGAAGGATCTTTGCCTTCCAAAAAGAATGATCAAGAGTTCTTTTTATCATGGATGAGGGCTGCTTGTGCATGAAAAACATGAATTGATTTACATAAGCTCATTTGTATCTTGCTTTCTAGAAGCATACCTATGGTGGGAGATCATCTGTAGTTGTATTTGATTTGAAAGTATTTTAAAGATAGACTGTGATGTTACTAGGGGCATATAATTGTGTGTGTGTGTGTGTGCGCACGCTTAAAAGTTCTTATTTATTTTCTTTGCACAAAGCCATAAAGCTGTGGCTTTTTACACAGTGGCCGTGAAGGGAAACAGATCTCACCTGTTGGTATATGAATCTTTTGACCTCTGATGGAGTTCAGAAGGGAATCTAGTTTGCACCTGTCTGCTGAGGAGGCTTCTGTGCAGCTGTAGATTACCTAGGGAGCTTGTCAGCAGAACAGGTCCATGGTTTCTCCCGTTTTGCCCTTTGCCACTTTTCTCTGCTGAGACCCGAGGATCCGGCCAGCAGAGGGAGCACGAGTTGATGAACAGATCTGCTTCCCAGGCCTGAATTATCCTGCATCCTCGGGCACGACTCCCTCATGCCTACAGGAAAAGGAAGCCACTGTCTCTCCAATTTATGCTCTGCCAAGAAGGATATGAACCCATTAATTGGGCACATTGGAGTTATTCAAACATTTTTCTTTGTTTCATTAAATAAAATATATCAAAGTGATGATTTTCAAGTCAGAAAAGCCCAATCATCTTTAAAAACCTCTGCCCCAGCTTCTTACATGAAAGTCACATGTTTTTATTTTTAAGATTAATATTCTATTATTACATAATTTCCTTCTGTTCACATTTCAGTAAGTTAATTGAATGACCTATGGTGGAGAAATGGAACGATATTATCCAAACCCAGGAATTTTACACAATGTGATCTAGAAAGTTCTGTTTATATCACTATTTGAACCAAACTAAACGTTTAACTTTTACCACGAGGTTTGATATTTAATCAATTTCTTTCAGGTCTCCATACTCTTGCTGACATTAATGCTTGTTTTTGCAAGCTTTGGAGTTCAGCTTTTTGCTGGAAAGCTAGCCAAGTGCAACGATCCCAACATTATCAGAAGGGTAAGATGCTCCTCTCTGAACTTTGAAATAAAAGTGAAGGTAGCTTGCCCTGCCTTGGAAAGCCTGTGGAATCAGTGGCTCTAGGGCTGCTTAGAGATTCCCCCTGATAAAACTGAGAATTCTCTCCTTGAACCTGCAGTATATCTCTGCTGGCTGGTAAAGGTTCGTATGATTAAATGCACATCTCAGGAAATTCCGCTCCTCCCTTCTATTCCTGCATCTATTCACTGCTGATGTCTTGCCCACAGTCGCTCGAGACTCCTGGTGTTTATAGCTGAGAACCTCAGGAACTTTCCTTTTAGGTCTTACCTAACACGAACCTGTTGACACCCATATCAGCAAACAGCCCTCCTGCAAAAATAGGCCCTAGGAAAGTCCCCCCCACACCCTTTTCCCACTCTCGGCATTTGGAAGCAGCTTCACTCAGCTCTTAGCTGCCCAGAAGCTCCCCTTCATGACAGCCAGCAAGGACCCCACCTGGGACCCACACCTGAATTCCTTCCCTGTAGCATCTTCTGCTTGTTCAGTGGGTGTGAGTAAGAGGAAGTTGGCTTCAGGAACAGCCCCAGTGTTTCCGCACCTCCAACGTTGTGCCTTGCAGGTCCTGCATCTTGGGCATGCTGGCCAGTTAACCTCCAAATGACCACTCAGGGACTCCGGGTCCTTCTGTCTGGTGTGTCCACCCTTTGCTTTTCTCTAGGGTCTTCTCAGTTTAGGTGGGAGACTAGAATGAGAAACAGTTCTACCACAAATTGATGCAGGCAAAGCCKGCCAGTGGCACACATCACTTCAACTCACTTTCCCCGGGGAAAGAACAATGGCCCTGCCATACTGGAAGGGAGACTGGGAAAGGCGAGGAAAAAGGGACACAGCCTGGTTAATAATTAGCTAATTTCTGCTGAACCATCCAGATTACAAATAAATAATAAAGTCAATAATTAATGAAGTAAACAAGTGCTGCTGAGGCATAAACTAACAAAATATTTTCATCTTCCATCCAAATACAATAATATCTTAATTCCATTAAAATGTGTATCTCCAGAATGCCTAAAAGAATTGAACTACAACATAATATATATTTCTAGCAACAGCTAGATTTCATATTATAAAATCCACAAAGTATTATTAGTTCTCTGTTATACAGAAAAATCTTTGTTCATTCAAGTRCATTGTGAATTATATTAATATGAGGACTTTAGAAGTGCAAGAYTGGGAGAAAAGTTCCAGAAATTTCCACATACCTGAGAAGACATCAAGGAACATGGTATGAAGGTCATGATGTACCCAACCAACAAATGAAGGAAGTAATAAAGCGTTGATGCCTTCGTCCACGAGCTTGTGTAAGGAAGAAGTTATTTTAGACTCATACTGAATAGAGGCCAGAAAGATAATAACAGCATTTCAAGATGAAGCCTCCTAGGAATCCTAGATGACTCAGTTATTAATRATGGTCTAAGAGCGTGGTGACTTCACATCATGTGCTTACACCCAGGCCAGGCTAGAGATGGGAGGCTCYTGTGGGGGGTGGGGAGCACAGCAATGAGGTCTGGTGACGGTGCAGAAGGAAGGCCTAGGCAGACAGACAGCCATCCAGAGCACCACGCTGGAACATGGAAACTGGCACAGCGAGAAGAGCTCTGGGTCTCTCTRTTCCTCTAATCCCAGTACATGAGACCAAGGCCAACAATGTCATGCAGAGGACATCAGTCCTGTCTCAGAGTCTCAGACCCCCTCTCTAAAACAAAAGACAAACTCAGCCATGAATGGAAACTAGATTCACCAACATTTGGCTCTCACAGCTCATGTTCAAAGGCAAAGAGGCTTGACTTGTCSGGCCGTTTTCCAACGGGGCGAACACATTATTTACTCGTATCTGCTTGAAGACTTCCATCCTTTGCCCATTTTCTTAAACCTGGGCAAAGATATCTTGAAATCAACATAGATAGASATATGGAACCCAAAGCTTAGTCACCAGACCACTGTAAACCAACTCGGATGCCACCGTTTTACAAATAGATATTAAATATCGGTTATGTCCAAGGGAACAAGAGAGGWGAAATGAAGAACTGGAAAGAGGAGGAGGTGACTGTCTAATTTTTTAGACAGCAYTTTCTGTCCAATCAGAACGTGTGTTTCATGTTCTAGCAACTGTAACATAGTCAGCAGTCAAAAGAGCATCGAGAAGCCAAAACAGCGTTCCACCTGATTCCCCACAGAAAGCTGAACCTCCCCAGGAAACTGTACTGGGAAGAAGGGAGGATTCAAGATGGCCAGGGCAGTTCCTCCCAAGCAGAGCAAGCAGGATGAGGAATGACGCCAAGCAGGCAAAGAAGAGTCAGGTGCAGAGGTGAGACAAAAGGAGGGAAGCAGCCTTGGAATCAGGTTCCAGATCCAAATCCGACTTTAGTTGATGGGATGGCTCRGTTCGGTTACTTCATCCCTGTGAATCTACTTCCCCCTCTATCACGTGTCTCACCCAGCAACATTTTGAAGACAGATTAATTCACTTTTGGAGAGAGCCTGACCCAGCCCCCAGTAGTCAGTGTTAAACTTCACTTCCCTCCCATGCGGAAAGGACTGAAAAACACAGCCAGAAATCTGAGTCTGGGAAAGACCCTCAAGACTCTGAATACCAGACTTGGGGGGTCCCAAGAGGAARATTTCTTTGATGAGAAATGAGAAGCCTTTAAAGGTTTTTGGGAAGAAGAATCAGATACTTCTTAATGCTCATGAAGCACAAAGCTTTGTCCCTAGTACTGTTTTGATTACCTGCATTCTACTAATAAGGAAAACAGGTATAAACTGATTAATAACTTGTGGAAGGTCGCCTACCTAGTAAGTGGGGAAGCTGGGATTCCTGTCCAGGCAGCCTGGGCCCATGTGCTGTGCGTTAACCAGGGTACCAGGCAGCCTCATGCAATCAAAGGTGGGCATTTGATTAATCAAGTATATCATGGGGCCTCTGTATGATACCCTGCAGTACAGCCCTTCCAAATAGTGTTGTAGATKAAGAGATATGGTTATGAAAAGATAATTACAACATGTTTTAACCAAAAAAAAACATATGAAAGGATAAAAACGGTATGATCTCATATATGCATAGGAAAAAAGATGGGAAGGATACACCCCAAAAAGTTAATTGTGTGTGTGTCTGGTAATTAGGGGTCAGTTTTCCTTTCTGACTACTCATCCTTTATAAGTAAAAGATATATTATTTGTGTCATATGTGTTTTTTTAATGTTATTGGCAATCCAGACAGAGGWAATGTTGTCATTAGCTAAACTAGTTGAAATAGGAATGGAGACCTGGACCGTGAGGCACGAGAAGAAGCAGGACAACTCTGAGGTCTTCATTCTCACAGCTGATGGCATGTTGGTTCACAGACAGAGGGGACATTTCRTAGGGTCAAAGTTGACTTTAAACAGGTTAAAATTCTGTTGATATATTCAAGTGATGCTCAAGAATTTTACCAGATGCACCTCAAACYTAGATTAGGCTCAGAATATGATAATTATAGCCAAAGAGACAAAGATAACCAACCAAAGGGCAAGGAGACAGAAAATGAGTCAGAACTTCTAACTGGGTCAGGTGCAGTGGCACACACCTGTAATCCCAGTGGCTCGGGAGGCTGAGGCAGGAGGATCACAAGTTCAAAACCAGCCTCAGCAATTTAATGAGGCACTAAGCAACTCAGTGAGAACCTGTCTCTAAATAAAATACAAAATAGGGCTGGGGATGTAGTTCAGTGGTCAAGTGCCCCTGAGCTCAATCCCCAGTACCCCTCAAAAAAAAAAAAAAAAACTTCTTACTGATGTTTTATGTTTGAATATTTTTAAAAGGCTTTATTGGGAAATAATTCACACAATATACAATGCATCCCCTTCAAGTGTACAGTTCAGTGGCTTTTAGCATATTCAGAACTCTATAATCATCCCAGTGGCCACTTTGGGAACATTTACATCTTTGAAAAAMATCTGGTATCAGTTAACTGTCACTCCCTACCCCTTTATCCCTCTATACTTCTAGCCCTAAATAACTACTAACTACTTGGTATCTCTGTAGAGTTCCCTGTTCTGGACTTTCATATGAGTGGAATCATACAATAGGTGCTCTTTTATGACTATCTMTTTGATTTAGCCTACTATTTCCAAGGGTCATCCATATGTCTCATGTGCCAGTCAGTACTTTAGCCCTTTCTGTGGCTATATAATATTCCAAGGTTTGAATATACCATTTTATTTATCTATTTTTCCAWTGATGGACRTTTGAGTTGTTTCCAYCATTTAACTATTATGAGTATTTCCAATTTAACATTCAGGTACAAGTTTCTCTGTTGACATACATTTATCGTGTCTCTTGGATAGATAAATACCTAAGAGTAGAATCATTAAGTTATATGGTGTAATAGTCTTATTATTTCCATTGCTATAACAAAATACCTGAGGCTGGGTATTTTGTAATGAAAAGGGGTATGTTTAACTTACCCTTTTGGTGGCTGAAAGTCCAAGATTGYGTGGCCCCATCTGTTCAACTTCCAGTAAAGAGGCCCCCCTGGCTATATTTTACATGATGGCAGATGGCATCATTGTGGGCGTAAGAGCAAGAGGGAGGGATCACACAGTGATATAGGAACCCAAATACCAGGGACTCTAAGAAAGTCACCTCTCTCAGGACACTTCTAAGAGAAACACCCCCACTAACCAAATCACCCCCACTGGGCTCACTCTTAAAAAAGACTCCACCACCTCCTACATCGTGGGCCAAGCTGCCAGCACATGACGCTAGGAAACATAGTCAAACCATGTCCAAACCATGGTGTGGGCATGTGATTACTCCATGCTTAGATGTTTGAGGAACTGCCAGACTGTTCTCCAAAGGGGTTACACCATTCTTCCTCTCTCCTCGGTGGTGTATGGGGTTCTAGGTCTGGGACTCCCGTTTCTCCACAGCCTGCCAGGGCTGACTGTTTTTTGACTTTTTTATTTATTTGTTTATAAATATTTATTTTTTGGTTAGACACAATACCTTTACAATACCTTTATTTTGTTTATTTATTTTTATGTGGTGCTGAGGATCGAACCCAGGGCCTCACGCATGCTAGGCGAGCACTCTACCGCTGAGCCACAACCCCAGCCCTATTTGACTTTTTATGATGGCTTCTCGGTGCCTGTGGAAAGGCGTCTCATGTTGGCCTTGACCTGCAACGTCCCTGATGGCTGATGGTGCCGAGCACCTTTTCTTGCTTACTGGCCCTTTGTAGATCTTCCTGGGAGAAATGTCTGTTCTGGCCCTTTGCCCACTTGGTAGTATTTCCAGCACCTCCTTCCCCTGCCTGTCTCCRTGGTCTTTGTCACTGTTTTCTGGACAGCTGTCCTCATCACTGCTGTTGGATAGAGACCTTTGCTGCCTATGTGAGAAAACGTTTYCTGTCTCTCACCTTCTCTGAGTTCTCTGTCTCACCAGGCTCCCTACCTCCTTTGTTTTTCCTACTCTAGGAGGATTGTAACGGCATATTCAGAATCAATGTAAGCGTGTCCAAGAACTTAAATTTAAAATTGAGACCTGGAGAGAAAAAACCTGGATTCTGGGTGCCCCGTGTTTGGTAAGCATATCAGAAAAATATCTTGAAGCTGACTATGTTTCTTGGTATGAGGACTTAAAACTGYATAATATGCCATGAAACTAAAAGTCACTCTGCTAGAGACTTTGAAATAATGAAAACTAATCAAATACCACCTTACTATTTTCCCAACACTTTAAAAGTATGTATCTGAATTCAAATGGTTTTCAAAGTTAATGAGGCTTCAAAACAAAGATTTTTCTATCACATCGAATGTAAATTCATTCCGAGTTTAAATCTTTAAGGGAAGATCTGATGTCCTTCTAACACTGGTGAGAACTCTTAAATCATAAAGCCATTGCAATTTTAAAACCCACTTATACTGATGGATTTCTGTGATTGAAACACTGGAGAGGAATAATCAGTAACAAAGTTAATTATATCTAATTCTCTCTTTAAAAATCATTTTTCTTCAAAATGAGTTTTCCAAAGTATTTACATCAAAGCTGGAAGTACCAAGCACCTGCAGGAAGTACTGAGTCTTCGTTCTCCGCCATCTTACTAATGACTGTGAATGTAGTCCCTCTGCCTCATTGATGAGCCAAGTGTTCCATTAACTTCATTTGTCCCCTTAATTTTTTTTTTTAATTTCTTTTTCTTAACATCTTAGAATAAGGAGTGAACCACAGGAACTCTGCTCTTGTCAYGATGATGTGCCCTCCACGTCAAAGCTCTTTAAGAGGAACGGCACTTCACCCAGCTGTAGCCCAGGACTCATGGTCACCTCACTGTGGCATTTCTCTACTATGAAAWCCACATTTATAAACAATTCAATATAATTTATATTGGGGTTTTATTTTTTAAATACCCAAGAAGTGTGGGGAAAAAAGAGATTCATTTTGGATGTGTGGGGCTTGAGCAGGAGTAGAGAGGAATATAACCCACAGGGATCTCCTTATTCCAGTGTGCGCAATCTAATTTGCATTAAAATAAAAAAACTAAAGCATAGAAAGTGTATTTGGTGAGATAAAAGTTTGTCAGACCGTGAATAACTTATTTATATCAGGACATAAAATGGGGATTCTTTTCCTGGCTGTTTTGGGATTTGGACTAAGACCTCCCAGCTGAGGCCAAGGGGGATGAAGCAATCTTATGTTCTACAGAGAGYGACTAGACCCATCCAGCAGAAAAGACCAAGACGTTTTCTCACTCCATCACCCAGCAKTAGTCTACGTGAGCCAAAACTCTGCTTTCATGGAGAACATCACGGGAGTATATGAGGTCAAGAGAGAGCACCGTGGCGTTCCTGCCCTTGACCCTGGGGAAAGGTCCAGGTGCTCCCGTCCCTGGCTGAGGGAGGTCCTGAAGGAGGACATTCATACCAGAGCTGGGCCAGGCAGGGGGAGGCTCCGTGGGCAGAGGAGGGTTATCTAGTCTTCCTGGAGGACACATAGTGGTCGCCTAGGCCACTAGGTCTGAGCCACCTTGAGAGGAACCCTGCTGCAGAGGGCATCCCCATCCAAAGAGGCCTGYGTGCAAGAGCAGACCAGGACGCCCGGAGCCCGGGCCCCGCCAGCAGGGAAGGTGCAGTGRTCGCTCTTGTTGTAAACTACGTGCCTTCATAGAAAACTGGAGGTGGACCAACAGACCAGGCAACAGCTGCCATTGAAAGGGAGGTTCTTACTCACAGTTCCAAGAGGAGGGAGCAGGCCACACCACGGGGGACCGGGGAGTGCCAGGGTTGGTCACAAGGCAGAAGGAGAACTACAGAAGGCCTGAACCAGGGTTTCATGGCGAGGAAGAGGGAGGCGAGGCAAGAGACTTGGACTGGCTAGCTTGAATCATTTCTGTAGGCTCCAAGACAAAGGGGCTGTCCCCAGCCGGCTGGTCCTGGGGGGTTAGGGCAGAGCTCTAGAGGTGAAAGCTCAAGAAAGGAGGTGGTTGGGATATGGACTCCGGGTTGGGTACTTTGTATTTGAAAACTACACCAAAGGAGAAGGACTCCGATCCTTTAAGGTYATCTTAAAACATGACTGGTCTCATGGCCGAAAGTGACCAAAAACTTTGGGACCCTCCAAGATGTCAAGAGAGAAGCTGAAACGCACCACAAGGCAGTGTTCAGAGAAAAGCAAAACCTGCCCCAAGTTGTACCCTGTGGCATTCAGTCTGTCCCATAAAACCAGTTACAAGTATCTGAAAAATCAAATTTAACCAAAATGAAATATTTTATGTAATTTATTATTAGTGGTTTCAAGTTCAGTGACGTTTTAAAAGCATAAACAAATAGAGGCACTTCCCTCAAACATCATCACATTGCTTTTGTCCATTTTCCTGATATATTATGATTTGGATTAGTTGTAATGAAATAAAAATCTTTGCCCTAAAACCATGAATTTTTTTTTACATTTTTTTTTCTTTTTAAATAATCCAATCTAGAGTTAGAAGCTAAAAAATATTTTTATAATCTTTATATTGGCTAAATTATGATTAAGAAAATAACATATCTGGGAATAGCCCTAGAGGAATGCTTAGGTAATTATAATTAGGACATAAATATGCACAGTCTAATTCAGGAGATGGTCTGGTTTCTATATTTTCTCTTCAGATGAATAAGTTCATTTTCCTCTGAATCAGACTTGATGAGATAAAAATTGCCTCGGTAAGAAGGATTAAACACATCTTCTATTATAAATACTGTGTGTTTTATTTTAGGAAGAGATCAGTATACAGAAAAATGGCCTGAATGAGAACAAAAACAACAAAGTGTTCAGTTCTGTGATAATGTACTTTCAGAGTGCTAGAATGCACCAGGCTTTCCACTTGCCATGGATTCAGCTATGGATCAGTTACAGCCCTCGCCCCTTACAAGCTTGAAATCTGGTGGAGAACAGAACTGTGTGCAGAGAAGGTTCTCAAGACTTAGGTTTCTTAATTTCATGGAGTATCAGCCTCTGATACCTGCAGAAAGACAAAAGGTGCTGGGAATTGTACTCATGCAGGAGAAGCTCTTAACCCAGAGTATGAAGGACCAGGCAGAGAGGAGAAGTACTGGTAACTTTCTTTGTGGGCAGTATTGGAGGTTGAATCCAAGGCCTCCTTCATGCTAGGCAAACTTGTTGCTGCTCCTCTGTGCCCCCAGCCCGCATTGGCTGACTTTTAAAGGACAACAGTTGGAAATAGGCAGGGGAAAGAAAGACAGCAAAGGGCAGGTGGGAAGGAAGGATGAGGCCAAGCTCAGGTGCTTCCAGTGGAAGAAGCTCTGCTGCCAAAGCTCAAGGCAAAAGGAGAGTTAGTTGGTGCATTCTTAAAAGCACAAAAAGTTTCTGATTTCTTTAGGAAAGAAGGCTAGAATGCAGGCGACACAGGATGCCATTTTGGAAAGTGTTGTTCCCTGGGTTTCCATATCCAAAGGCAGGGGCCAGGTGGCCTTCCCCATGTGACCCATCTTCTCCAGAGGAGGAGTGACTGGCTCCCTTTATTGTGATTTAGAGGGTCTTGGAGCACTTTCCCCTGGGAAATCCAACGATCGACCAGATTATGAGGTCAGAACCAATGTCTTCGTATTTTTTTTTAATTGGATAGGCAAGATTATAATCTTTTWAAAAAAATAACAGAAAAGATAATATTTAAGCAGCCTTCCAATTCAAGGAAGAGAAACAGGGAAGATAACAATAAGGATTAGGGTTKGGATCTATTTAATCTCTCTAGGTATTGTAGGTGAGCGCACCTTTCCAATTTTGCTAGCATAAACAAAGCACAAATAAACAGTCATATAATTAAAACTGAAGAAGTCTTGTTTTTTAAAATATGATAAATCCTTTCAATTATTTAAGCCTATAATACTACATTTTATTTTTCATGGTTTAGCCTAAAAGTGTAATTTCAACATATTCTAACTTCTAAAGTATATGGAACATGAAACTGTTTAAGTTGCTGCAAATTTAGCTGAAAAAGCACTTTTTACATAAAGGAAATGGATGAGTAAGAAAGTTCAACATCAGATCTGAGAACTGGCTCACTTGGTTTTAAAAAGTCCTTATTCAAGCAAACTGCAGCATCTGTAGAATCCTTACAACTGCTATCTACTATAAAAGACCTGGAATTTAATTGAAACCCCACCACCACCCCCAAGTAAGGTTGTTGGAAAAATTCAAAAGAATTTATATGTACTTTCATGCAGAAGAAAATATAAATCAGAAGTCTAAAATGTAAATTTCTTTTTTTTTGCTGTGATTAGGCTCCCTTTATTTTTTTTATTATTAGCATTTCAAAACATTACAAAGCTCTTGACATATCATATTTCATACATTTGATTCAAGCAGATTATGAACTCCCATTTTTACCCCATATACATATTGCAGATTCACATCAGTTACACATCCACTTTTTTACATACTGCCATACTAGTGTCTGTTGTATTCTGCTGCCCTTCCTATCCTCTACTATCCCCCTCCCCTCCCCTCCCCTCCCCTCCCATCTTCTCTCTCTACCCCATCTACTGTAATTCATTTCTCTCTCTTGTTTTTTTCCCCTTTCCCCTCACTTCCTCTTATATGTAATTTTGTATAACAATGAGGGTCTCCTTCCTTTACCATGCAATTTCCCTTCTCTCTCTCTTTCCCTCCCCGCTCTCGTCCCTGTTTAATGGTGATCTTCTTCTCATGCTCTTCCTCCCTATTCTGTTCTTAGTTGCTCTCCTTATATCAAAGTGTAAATTTCTTAGTGAAGCTTTTGCACTATATAGAAAACATCTCTGTCAATCATCCTTAAACCCTAAAAGAGCAAGTCACTTTCATTTTATGCTTTCTTACTAGATATTCATCTATTCAGTATTCTAAAAAAACAACAAAAAAAAACTTATAAAGGTAAATCTCATGACTGTTTCTATAGTTTAAAAAACATAAAGAATTGTAACAAAATCTGAGCCAGATTCCCCTCAGAGTATGCCTTTCATGAGGGTTCAATTCTGATAAACGAAAAAGTAGGGAAAGTAATTAAAATTATGATGTAGATAGACTCCAGGAGACCTTCCCAACTCAGCAGTCCAGAGCCGATTTATCGTCAAATTCAGATTCAGCAAGGGTAGTGACAGTGCCTGGTTTTCAAGTGTGCAGTTGTTGAAACCTTTATTTAAAATAGCCTCTAATAAGAAAGAAAAGGAAAAAATTAAAGTTTTTTTTTCTGTTTATAACCACAGCAAAAGTTCGATAAACCCACAATAATGAAAGAAGATGCAATATAGTAAAAGGGATCACTTTTTAATTGAGAAGGAAAAAAAAATATAACTTGTGTCAAAAAACAAGGAAGGAGATAGCCCATCCCCCAAACAAAATAAATAATAATGTGGCCCAAGTGTTTTGGGAATTCGCAATCCACTGCAGGTATAGAGCTCAAACTGTGAATTGGGCATCRCAAGAAGGTCTACTGAGACTTCTCAGAGTTAATGAGAGGAAAAATCCAACCAGGAGGGAGTAACCTGACGCATACACACAACCCTCAGCCTCTGGAATCAACAGCCCCTCAAAGCCTCTGTATGTTAAGGCACAAAGTGAAGTAACCAAATTCTGCTCTTCTTACACTTTCTTTTAATAGAGCCAATTGTAGTTTATACCTTTAGAATTTTCAATGATAAAACTCTCAAAATTCACATCCAGAGTCTGATGCCCCTTTGTGCAAATCTATAAAATCTCATTTTCAGCAAGTTCCTCCATGTCGTCAGTACAGAGGCAGCAGGGACTTCAGAACCTCAGGCTGGATCTAGGGCTGTTGTGCCCTTTGCTTTAAATTGAGGCCAGCTGATGAATCTMATAAGTTGTTAACACATAAAAACACACAGGACAGCCAACGAATCCCAGGTGCCCCAGTCTTCCCCAAAGCTGAAGACACCCTGTGCTAGGGATTAGAAAGAGTTATAGGCATTTGCTGTAAAATGTCCCTTTTTCCTTGGAATTTTACAGAACTGTTCCTCTTTCTGAATTGCAGGGCAAATCCTCGGAACTTTAATTTCGACAATGTGGGGAATGCTATGCTGGCATTGTTTGAAGTTCTCTCCTTGAAAGGCTGGGTAGAAGTGAGGGACGTTATTATTCATCGCGTGGGGCCGGTGAGCAAGCACATCGAATCTTTTGAACATTTCCAGAGCGGCTTTGATTTGCTTTGATGAATAACCATATTTTTCATTTATGCAGATCCATGGAATCTATATTCATGTTTTTGTTTTCCTGGGTTGCATGATTGGACTGACACTTTTTGTTGGAGTAGTTATTGCTAATTTTAATGAAAACAAGGTAAGAATCCTTGGATGACTACCACAGGCTTTATTCTTTACTTGCCCCCCACTTTGAACTGTTTTTTTTCCCCCTCACCACAGCATGAAGTAGCATTAAACTGTAATGTGACTGGTGGAAATAATCTGTATAACTATTTTACAAAGTACCTCATCGCTGCCTTTCAGGCACATTATTTAGAAGTACAATTCTCTTGCTAAATTCACCCTCTTGGCAACAGTGTCATTAATTCCCCCACAATTGAGAAGCGCATCTCCTATTGTTTGGATTGAAAGGATGTACAGCAAGTTATTAAAATACAGTAGCTGAAAGTGGGGAGCTGATTGCAGGTAATATCATTTCACAAAATGTAAATTGCAGTCTCCTTTGTCACTCAGTAGGCGGATTTGGAATTCTGATGGGCTAGGGAGGTGCCGTACAAATTTTTAAATTCTACTTCAAAGAACAAAAAGATTTTCTAATTTCATGTAAACTTTACATACTTCACAAACCCCACGTAACATGCTGAGTTCTCAATAGCTCTGATGATCAGTACAAGACTCACAAATGGGAAAACAACAATGTACAATGTAGTTTCCTGTCAATAAATGAGTTGGGAAGAACATTCCGTTAGYGCTCGGAGGAGAGGTGCTTGTTCTTCTGAGCGTGGTTGATGAGCTTTCCATAATGGAAAAACAATTTTTGGAATCACAATAATCAAAATACACTCATTGTTGAGCCCTTCATTTATACTGAGATTTTATACATGCCACTGTCAGTTCTCACAACTCCCATAACCAATAACTTTGGGATTTATAGAGAGCAGAAAATTGGGACCAGAAGTCAGATTTGGTGCCCATTACTACAGAGTCTGTGATTCTTCAAATGCAAAAGTGTAAAACCTGCCCCCCAAAGCTAGATTTGTCTGCACAGCTCCGTGCTGTTCAATGTCATCCATGGCTAGGACTGGTTCTCTTACATTCACATCAGAGGTCTTTGGTTTGTGTAGCTTTACCTAGGACCCAATCATTCAGTGTCCCCAGGCTTAATACGCAGGGAACCGCTTACTCAGTCAATTGCTACCTTTGGTGTGTGCTTAGTGAGTATGTCCCTTCATTCAGGCTTTCAAAGGGTGCCATTTGAAAATCCCTCCTTTGGGTCCCAATGTTATTTCACCTAAAGAAACATGGAATCATAAAGTTAGAACAGTAGTGATCAGGTCACCYGGCCCCTCTATCTAACCTTCTAACATGTTGAGTTTCTCTGAGCCCTATGGTGCATTCATAGTTTGATACCAAGCATAAAGAAGAAGGAGGAGCTCTTCCAGCCATGTGGTGGAGCAGACACTGGGAATTCCAGAATGTGAGCAGAAGTGAATCAGCCCATTAGCAGAGAGTGTAGGCACCAACAACTCTGAACAACACATGAGCTCTGATCAGGCTCCTGGGTTCTGTGAGAATTGGGTTCTGTGCCAGCTCACAATTCAGCAATGTAAATGGAACAACATAAGATATTCAGTAACTGAAAACACATGTATAATTAATATAAGTCTTGAACTTGAGAAACTGAGAAATGGCCGYGCAAGCAGAATTACCAGCAGGTCCACTTCCACTGCTGTTCTTTATGTTCTGCCTCTGGGGGAGTGGTACATCAGCCCAAATAGGTGCTGAGGGAAAGAGGAATCTGAGAAGAAGTCATTTTACAGGACATTGCAAAATTTTCTAGTAACCTTAATATAGAAACTTATAATTTATGTGAACCTTTTCTGCAAGATTTTTAGAAGTTAGCRCCTAAGTGCTTATAGAACAACATTTACTCATTTATTATTCATTCACCAGATTTATCTGTGCATGTACTGGGTGGTAGACACCACTGGTCCCTGAAGACCTAGCAAACTAAACTGAACTGTAAATACAGAAATTTCCACCTTCGGGAACACACATCTTAAAGGTCATACCAAAGGAATATAAATAGGCAGTATTTTTAGAGTTTGGAATTGTGTAAAAATAGGTCTTCCCTAGAAAATGGTAGTGTCTTTACAATGCTCCACATGTATTCCAATAATATGCCTTTATTTCTGATTTCCTTACCATGAGACCATGCATTTAATACACTTTTATTGACAATAACAAACTTTCAGAGATTCTTATACATTAATGGGCAGATGAGAATTCCCTGTTTATTATTCTTTTGGATGCCTTTGAAATTTCACTTTTCAAAAAATTAGTTGTTTTGATCAACTAAAGAATAATGAAATCTATGTTTGTCTAGAGAACAAGTATTTGTTTGCAATTAATGAGAAAAGTGGTTTAGCAATACTAATATCAGGAAAAAAAATCACTTAAAACAAATACCATGATTAGAAATAAGGGGGATAATTAATAATGACAAAAATTAATTATCAGAAAGATATAGAATTCTTGCATCTCAAAATATATAAAGCAAAAGCTAACCAAATTCAAAAAGAAGCTAGCAAATCCAAAAGCATAATAAAAGTTATTAACATAGTTCTCTAGGAAACTCATAAATAGATAAATGAAAGGACATGAGATTTGATACAATTAAAAATATTTTACTTGATGAAAATAAAAAGAGCCTTGATCCCCCAAATTTGAGAATATGCATTATTTTCAAATACAAAATGAAAACTTTAGATGTCCAATTACCAATAATTACCAAAAAACATATAATGTATAGTATATATTCTCTGTCACACAAAAAAATAGTTTAAAAAAAGAACCCTCATAATTTAGAACTACTAGGACAACATCCCAAATTATTTATGAGTTATAGAAGAAATCATAGTCCAAAACCACAAAACATTTAGAGATAAATTACTTTAAATATCTAAAAACATGCAAGAGCTGGGAATGGAGGCATATACCTGTAATCCCAGCAGCTCAGGAGACTGAGACAGGAGGATCACAAGTTCAAAGCCAGCCTCAGTAACTTAGTAAGACCCTGAGAAACATAGTGAGACTCTGTCTCAAAATAATAAATAAAAAGGGTTGGGGATGTGGCTCAGTGGTTAAGTACCCCTGTGTTCAATCCCCAGCACCAAAAAAAACAAAAACAAAAACAAAAACAAAAAACACAAGGTGTAGATAAAACAGTAGAGAGAAATTTATCACTTTAAGTGTATAATTAGAGAAAAAGTCAAAGTTTAAATATTCATATGTCAAGTACCTAAATCAACAAATTATAGTAACTACAAGGTAAAACTGAAGAGTAAGAAAAACAAGGTCATCAAGATTTTGACAGAAATTAATGATATAGAAACTTCAATAGTTTCTATCAGGTTCAAGAATACAAAAGCTGGTTCTAGAAGAAAATTAAGTCCAAAAGCCTCCAGGAAGGTTGAGCAAGAACAAAAACATGGAGGAGGAAAGTGAGCAAACCATAGTAATGRCAGCAACGGGGCGCTGGTGCGGTGACCCTGGGTCACATGTGTGCAGAATTGAAGCAGCGCCGCCCATCAGCCCAGAGGCAGRGGATCAGCCATACTATGCTGGGGGCTCCCACTGCTTCAGTGTAACAATCCATCTGAGCTCCCCACCCCATGGCACCCTCTAACATAATTTCAGATAAATTAAAGATCTGGATAAGAAAAGCAAACTTTGAGCCACTTTTAATCCATGTAAGCATTTCWATTTGACCCCAGAGTAGTTGTGCTTTTTTAGACATCAGCCCTAAAGTAAGATCTATAAAGAAAAAAACTGTAAGTTGGATTCCATTAAAACTACAAAAATCTAAATGATATAAGCAAAATAAAATGCAAACCGAGGAAACACTGTATTTACAACTCACATAACTGACAAAAAGATCCATAATATATTAAAAAATATATTTGGATTATTWATGATCCATAACTATGTTAGTCAGCGATTTGCTGCTGTGTCCAAAATACCTGGCAAAAATAACTTAGAGGGGGAATGTTTATGCTGGCTCATGGTTTCAGAGGCTTAGTCTATGGTGTGCCGGCTCCATTGCCCTGGGCCTGAGAAATCATGGCAGAAGGGCTTGGTGGAGGAGTGCTGCTCCATTCATGCCAGCATGGAAGCAAAAAAATAAAGCAGAGAGGAAGGGGCAAAGGGACGATCAATCCTTCCAGGGCACAACTCCAACRACCAACCTTCTGCAGCCATGCCCCACCTGCCTAGAGTTACCACCCATTTAAACTAGGACGGACCCATTCCATTAGAGCTCTCACCAATCATCTCACCTCTGAATATTCCTGCATTAACACAGGAGCTTTTGGGGACACCTCATATCCAAACTGTAACCATAATATATAGAGAATTTCTAGAAACATTTGGAGTAAGAAAATACAAAAATGAATAAGGAATATGAATGGCAATTCATATAGGAAGATGGAGGAATCACCACTTACATACATAAAAATGCTTCATCTTGTTAGTATTAAAATTGAATTAGGCATATTTCATAGCCATTACAATAACCAAATCAAAATTTCTAATAATGTCAAATATTGGCAAGAAAATAAGGAAAGGGAAACACATATATTGCTGATGGGAAAGTGTTTTGGTTATTTCTCTTTGAATAGCAACTTGACAATTATCTGATCAACGTGATAATGTTTAAATTCCCAGGTACCAATGATTGTCTAGAGATTTACAGTGCAGACACTCACAGTGAGACAGTAGCTATGTGTTACCTATAGCATTGATTATAGTCCATAAACCTACAGTGAGTAACTTCTGATATATTTGTGTAGAGGACCACTATATGACCTGATAAAATGAGCCAATTCGATCCAAGAATCCAGTTGTATGGAAAACATACAATAATTGAAGATAAAGACAAACTGCATAAATATGCATACATATTGATTTTAAAGTTTAAATGAATACATCATTCTGTCTCTATAAATACATAAAAGCCCCAAATTCTGAAAATCRTGTGAAAACATGGACCCTGGAAGGACCGTCATTCGCTCTAGGAAGGAAGGGAAGATGGAAGTGAGGTTAGGTATTTTCCCCCCAGTTTCTGAAATCACACTTCTGCTTCCTGTGGAATGATACTGTTCATGTGTGTTTTATCAAATATTATATTACACAGAATATCTAAGTCCATTTAGTAAGTCTTCACAGCCYTGATTCCTTAAAGAAGCAAATTCTGCGGTTTCATCTCTTTAAAAACACCTTAACTAGAAGCAGCAGCATTGGCAAACTGGAATTTTGCCTCTGTGAAAAGAAACTAACCCTTATTGGTTAGTATGCCTTTTTCACAATGTAACCTTATAGGAGACCTTCATAAAATTTCCCCAGACCTGAGTAGTACCCTCAAAGGCAATGGCGGAAGGCTGCTGGTTGATCTCTGAAGGTCTCCTCCTGCCTTGGGGGCCTCCTCTCAAGGCAGAGTGAGAATTCTGTCCGTGTTTCTTTAACCAGCACAGAACTTGGAGAATATCTTTACTGTGAGCCGACACTGCCCTGTTTGTAACCCCCMCCACCACCACCACCCATCTGCAACCTTCTTTCCCTCTTCCTTTTGCTGCTTTCTTTGTTTGTCAAGGGGACGGCTCTGCTGACTGTAGATCAGAGGAGATGGGAAGATCTCAAGAGCAGACTGAAGATCGCGCAGCCGCTTCATCTCCCACCCCGCCCGGGTATCAAAGATGCTCTGATTTTATTCATGTTGGGCCCTAGTGTTCATGATTCCCCAGGAGTCTCAGATTTAAATTAAAATAATAATTGTGAGGCCACTGGGAGGTTGTGCATAAGTTAATATAGAAACAGGCTCCAAACTACAGAGCTGTTCGTAGGCTATTAAAATCAACCACCCAAACGCTGTGCTTCAGTGCTCTCAGAATAAGCCTTAATGAAAAAATGATTTTTTAAATAAAATATRTTTGTGTTTGCCTTTAAAAAATRTGAGTGAAATGTATTAAACTGACAGAAATTGAATGATGTGCTTCTCCTTCCAATACGGACCGAGTCATGCACTGTCATTTTAAATATCGAGAGCCAGACATTCCTGCAAAACGCTTCACAATAGATTGAACGGGAGGAGGGGAATGTAATGGGCTTTAAGGTGAGCATTAAAGAAAACCAGAGCAAGAAATTTAAACGTGACCCCCGTCTGATGTGCCCTTGCCTAAACCTTTCTTTTCCAGATAATGATGGTTTTAGAGCTAAAATGTATGACATAACCCAGCACCCRTTTTTTAAGAGGACAATTGCGTTACTTGTTCTGGCCCAGTCCGTGCTGCTGTCTGTCAAGGTACTTGGTTTCACCTTGAGACGGTGGGAGGGAATTCTATATTCACTGGTACATCCAGGAATGTCACAAGCTGCCACAGCCATTTGCCATCTCTGTCCTCTAGTAAAACATTAAGATTCACAGTCGAGTTAACATGGACCGCAGAGGGGGGGACTTGGTGTCCAGTAGATGTGGCAATGACCTGTGTGTTCTTCCTGTTGCAGTGGGACGTGGAGGATCCCGTGACCGTCCCTTTGGCAACAATGTCGGTTGTGTTCACCTTCATCTTTGTGCTGGAGGTAATCCTAAGGAGTCCGCCGGGGGAGTTGTGGGCAGTTTTTAAGTAAATCATTGTGCCCTTTTGATGGCGCTGACTTTCGCCTCCGCGTCTCATCCCCTTTGATGGCTCTGGAGGCAGCGGGGCTGGCGGCAGGGGGAGCCTGCTTGTGGGGTACCTCCTGTTGTGGCTGTTCCGCTGAACTTGAACACTTCGGACTCCCAGTCTCTCTAGCTACCGTTGCTTGTTGGGTCTGGATGTTTGTCTGTCCAGCTCTGTGAGCTCAACTATGTAGAGCTAACCATCCAAGCCACTGTAGTCCAAGGCTTCAAATTACAGTGTGGTGGCAAAGTGAACACTGGCTCAGCCAGGATTATTTTAACACGTGGTCCGTACGAGATCACTTTCCAACCCCATCCACARTCTTTGAAAGACAGAAGCACCCTGTACTAGCTGGTGCTTCTGAAATATCTATGTTCTTTTACTTGAGAAAGAAGAATGCCCTGCTGTCAGAACAAGTCATCGAATGAGGAGAAAAGAGCATGGAGAATATAGATTTGTAACCTACTTAGCTTTGAAAATAAAAATGTATACATTAATAATTAACTGTTTATTACATCTTTAAAAAAATAGAATGTGACTCAAGTTAAGAGATTTAAATATGGGCGGAACACTCATCCTGTGCTTATTCCCCTCATTATTTTTCTCCAGGTTACAATGAAGATCATAGCCATGTCACCTGCAGGCTTCTGGCAGAGCAGGAGAAATCGATACGACCTCCTGGTGACGTCCCTCGGAGTGGTGTGGGTGGTGCTCCACTTTGCCCTCCTGGTAGGTGCACACTTGGGCTTTGAGCTGGTGTTTCCAGCTCAGCTTGGAGCAGAGCTGTTCCCAGTCTCTCTTCCCGCCAGGCCGTCCACTCTCACGTGTTAGATTAACTACAATCCAACTTTGGTTGTGATCAACCCTCAGGTATGCTTGCACACACAAACACACATGTGCTTCTGTGCACATGCCCACACTCTTCACATGGGCAGAACTTGGCCCTTCAAAGCCTGGAGTGTGCAAGCCAGAAAGAAAGACTCTTCATTGAAAACTTCATTTTACCACAGGATCAAACCAAAGGGAGAGAGCAAAGGAAACTGAAAAAGAAATTAAAGCGCCTGTCCAAATTCACACAGCTGGTGGCAGAAGCCTCAGACTCTGTATTCTGAGCCTAAGTGTAGACTCCAACCCACTCCGTTACAAGCGATATTTTGCTATGTAATTCACAGGTACTTCCACAGTCCTAACTATTTCCTCCCAGAACCTAGTTGACATTTCTCCAAAGCACCCCATTCTCCAGCTCTATGCCTAGGCCCTCACTATTTGCCCAAAATGCTTTCGTCTTTCATTTCAGTCTGAGTTTCAGCTCAAAATCTGCAGTCATGGGTGTGCTTGACCACGATCTAGAGTGATCTTGTCCAGTAGGAATAAAACGTGGCCATAGATGCCACTTAAATTTTTCTAGGAGAAACTGAAGAAGAATCAGATTTTGACTAGAGTTTAATATTTTCTAACTTACTCATATCCCATATACAAAATATCATCATTTCAGCAGGTGAGCAACAGAGCAGAACTGATTAAATCAGTTATGTCCTTTTTCTTGGCATGAAGTCTTGACGGTGGATTGCACATTCACAGCACACCCTCATACGCACCCGCCACATTTCCCATGTGTAATAACCACAGGTGACTGGTTGTGCCCATATTAGGCAGCGTGGATTTATTAGCTCTACCACTTTCCTGGCTTCATCCAGTTACCTGTCTTTGGTGATCCTTTGTTCCTGCTCTGAGCTGGAGGGAGGGATGTCACTTCACCATCCACTTATTCCATAGAGGTGTTATACAGATTACATGAAATCATGCAAGGGAAGCTTTTTCAAACTGTAAGGACTGCACCAACCCAGAAGGTGTTACTGTAAATACCTTTTTTCTTGTTGTTCTCCCTTGACCCCAGCTGAAAGTAATATTATCAGTCATCTCATTCCCCCATCCCCTTTAACACTGGGGGCCTTTCAAGACAGACAGACAACACATAGAACCCAGGTACCCCTCAGGCAGGGCTTGCCTTAGTAGGACATCATGGTGCCTTTGGCAGCAGGGACTGCTTGAGCCCTCAGTCACCTGGATTCATCTTTTTCAAACCATAGAGTTTTGAGCACACAGATGTGTACGGCACTGTGCTAGGATTGAGCAGAATGTAATGAGCAAAACAATGTCAGTTGCTGTCCTTGTAAAGCTCATACCCTAGAAAGCTAGGTAGCCACCGCATGCTCAGTGAGAATCACAATGATGCCCCGGTGGGGTGGGGGGTCGGGGTGGGGGCAGCCTGTGTTCCTGGGACAGCAGGAGTGGGAGGCAGCTGCATGGGAGAGGTCTGGAGCGCAGGGTGATGGGCGCCATCTGGAGGAGGGAGAACATTTTGGGCAGCCGGGCCTGTGATGAGGGTGCAGGAGCTGGAAGAAGGAAAGCTTGTGTGGGGGGAGGTTAGAAGGAGCAGGAGCGGCCTGGTAAGATTTGCATGGGCAGGAAGGAGTCAGTCTGCCCAGGACCTTGTGCTCCCGGTGAGAAAGCACCAGTTGTCATCCTGGAAGCTGTTAGTGGTCATTAATTTTGGAACAAGAGGAAGACAGCAGACCCTGAGCTAGCATGGAAGGAAGAGGCAGCAAAGCCCATGGTTTTGCCTYTCTAGTCAGATTTGTAACTAAAAGCTTGTCAGTCCCAGAAGAATGGAGTAGGCTCCCTAATCCCAGATGTCTGCAGAGAGGAAATCTGAGCCACAAAGACCAACTTGTCTGTTCTGCTTGACTGCTTTTGTTCTTGTCCAGGAACCTCTGGCCCTGGGAGGTGCCCTTTCCCTGCCATAGCTTGTAGGGGATTTCTGGGAAGGAAGGTGCAGTCCTTGTCCACCGTCCAAAAATGCTGTGTGCACATTCCTTGGCATGCACCTCCCCAGGACTCTCACTGGACCCCCTTCCCGGGGACCCATCTGTGACTGTTGTCACTTGGCTGGGCAGCCTCCTAGAGAACAGTCATGCTTTGGCACCAGCTGAATGTCAAGGTTGTTATCACAGTGGCAGCCAGCGGGATCTTAGCTCTTCAGATGCAGCCTTCTTAGTCATAAGGCAGAGTCATCTCCTGCTCTCATCATACCCTTGGAGGAAGAGCAGGGTGTGTTTCTGAGCCGGGGACTTCTCTAAGTCGACTTGGACTGGTGAATGTGTGGCTGGTCTTCAGAGAGGACTGTGCCTGCGGTCACCTTTCCAACATCAGTCTTCTCTCTTTGCTGGGACCCTTTTATGTCATGTCCCACTTGACTATCTTGTGTTGCATGGTTACCCTCTGTTTCTTACACCCTGTCCTCAAAAGAGCCAGTCATTGTTTTATGTACAATAAATTTTGAAATGCRGAATTTAACTGAGCGAAACAGACCCCCAAGTTCCATTTGAGATTTGATTTCACATCTAATATTTATTCATGAGTTGTGGGTGGCGACCTTTTCCGCACCTTTTTTAGATAAATTTCTTAGGAGAATTTTCACCTTCTATTAAACTAATTATTCAGTAGGCTTCACAGAAGACTTAAAATGAAAAATGGAATGGAAACAAGATCTTTTGTGCAAATGACGAAAGCTGTCTTCTGCCTCCATTTCAGAACGCCTATACCTACATGATGGGTGCCTGCGTCATCGTCTTCAGGTTTTTCTCCATCTGCGGAAAGCATGTGAGTATGTCACGGAGAATCCTGGCAAGGGACGGGGTGCAGCTCAGTCGTAGAGCACTTGCCTAGCACACGTGAGGCCCTCGTTCTTCCCCCGCACCCCAGAGGCGGGGAAAAATCCTAGCCAAAGTCACATAGGCAATGAAGAAAAAGTGGCCCCCTGGCTTCAGCTGTCCTGGGTGACAGGGCTGCCGTCGACAAATGACTAGAAATCACAAAGTCAAGGTTAACAGTTAAATGTTAAATCAGTGGCTTAATTATCTTGTGATGTCTCTTGCCGTTTATGTTGCTTAATTTATTCTTCATATTTGCTAAGTAAACTGGATCATTGATTAAAAATGCCAGCCATAAACACAAAAACCAATGGTCATTAAAATGTCTTTATTTTATTTTAAATTGAGTAACATTGCTGCAGAGAAAACTAATATTTAATGACAGCTATGACTCCACAGTTCTAAATCTCTTTATATTCTTTGTTCCTGATTGTGCATACATTCTATTTGTAAGTTTTCATTTTTTTAGAGAAAATTTTGCTTCCAACATTATTTTATATATGCATTCTGTAAATCAATATACTTAATATTTGATGATTATTTAGTATTATACCACTATTTAGGTTTGCTTTTGTGAAGAAAGCAAGCCAAGTCTACTTGCTATAGACCAAAAATGCATCGTCCTTATAGAGAGAGAACAGGGGCTCAAGAGAAGAGAAATGGAAGACGGGAACGTTTGGGTTGATACTTTTATTAACCTGGCAGAAGAGACTTTAACCATTTGAAATATGAATGGAATTCTCAGTGCCTGACAGGTTTTTAATAACTTTTAGAGTTCACACCCACTAGGAAGCCGGGCACAGTGGCACATGCCTATCATCCCAGTGGCTCAAGAGGCTGAGGCAGGAGGATCACAAATTCAAAGTCAAACTCAGCAACTTATTGAGGCCTTACGTAACTCAGGGAGACCCTGTCTCTAAATAAAATATAAAGAGGGGGCTAGGGATGTGGCTCCATTGTTAAGTGTCCCTGGGTTCAATCCCTGATACCAAATAAATAAGCAAATAAATAATACCTGCGAGGAAGCCGCTTTCCCGTGATTCTCCTGGAGTCGCTCAGGAGCCAGCCACCCTCACATTGCTCTCCTGCAGGTCCTGCTGGGCTTCTGGGTTAACTGCTCTCTCTTCCTTCTCTCCGGCCCCATCAAGGTGACTCTGAAGATGCTGCTCCTGACAGTGGTGGTCAGCATGTACAAAAGCTTCTTCATCATYGTGGGGATGTTCCTCCTGCTACTCTGCTACGCCTTTGCCGGCGTCGTTCTGTTTGGTACCGTGAAATATGGAGAGAACATTAACAGGTTGGTTTGCAACTATCTTTCTGTTTGTTTATCAAGCAAACATGTTTTGTCTATTAAAGACCTGGGGGTGGTAGGGAAGGAAAGCAATCAGTTGGAAATTAAAATAAAATAATAGCCAAGATAATAGCCAAAATGACATTTTCCCAATTGAACAAGGTATGCATGTTTAGTTTAGAAATCTTACAAAATTCAGAATAAAAGCAGTCAAAAATGAACCCATAATCCTACCAACATGAAGGAATAACCAGTCCTAATCCCAGCCCTTTTTCTATCCATGTAATTGTGAAAAAATTCTATGTTTTGGATGAAACTCTCTTAAGGTGGATTTCTTTTTTAGCAAAATATGGCAAATTAGAAACCCCAAGATGGTTTTTATGTATTAAAAGTGATCTTGAATTTTATGGGAGCATGTCATTTTTTTTAAGGTCCTTACAAAGCAAAGTATATACAAACATGCTTTTGGTTTGTTTTTGGTTTTGGTACTAGGGATTCAACCCAAGAGTGCTTAATCACGGAGCCACATCCCAGACCTTTTTATTTATTTATTATTTTTTTATTTTGAGACAGGGTCTCACCAAGTTACTCAGGGCCTCAAAGTCAAACTCAGCAACTTATTGAGGCTGGCTTTGAACTTGCAATCCTCCTGCCTCAGCTTCCTGAGCTGCTAGGATCACAGGAGTGCAGCATGGTGCCCAGCACAAATATGCTCTGGTGAAGAAATCGTTATTTGATTCATCAGTGCTCCCCCCTTTTATACCATAGTCCAAGTGAAAGAAGGACTCACTGGTAGTGGCTAAAGCTGCTCACTCGGTCGTTCTAGATGAATGTCAGGAAATCAGTGGCCATGCCGGTGTTGGTGTATTCACATGGCCATACTTGCAGGCAAGTATAAATGGCAACAAGAGGGTATGACCTGTTTTGGTGGTGACAAACCATACTACTTCATGACAAACCAGATTATTCACATTCTGTTCTTGTTGTTGTTTTCCTAACTTAGGCATGCGAATTTTTCTTCAGCTGGCAAAGCTATTACTGTACTATTCCGAATTGTCACAGGTGAAGACTGGAACAAAATCATGCATGATTGTATGGTAAATATCTCCTCCTCATTATCTGAACCTGCACTTAGAATCAGCGTAATACCTTTGGCAATGCAACATTGGTGGTATGGTCCTTGTTAAGACCTTGTATAACTCTACATATCCTGGCCTTTTGGTGCTTAAATTGCATTCTTTTACATTGCAATGTAAATACAGGGGTAAATAATCAGCTGAACTCAAACTTGTAGTTCCAGTCAACAAATATTCCTAATATGAACATTGTTCTGTCCCTCCTACCTTTAACATCTTGGCAGCCCAAGAGGCAAGTGCCACTTCTTTAATATAATGCATCAACAGATATTGAATTCACTGAGCCCCTGGTTCATCCTGGGCCATGGGGTAGGTGCTAGGTCTTCACCAAGCCAAGGTTGTCTTCAAGCAGCCGAGGTCAATGGCTCTGATCACTCTTCCTTTGGTATCCTGCCTCWTCTGGGATAGTTCGCCATCATCTGCTGGTCTCAGTTTATGCTTCGGTTCCTTTAGATATTTTGCCCCCAAAGTTGCATATGGTCTTACAACACTATTTCTCCATTGCAGCAAATATCCCAACTCTAGAAAATTATTGGATGGAATTATTTAATTTCACCTCCCTCTTACCTTCCAGATCAATGCTATCCTGTAGAAATTTCTGCAGTGTTAGAAATCTGTACGGTCCCATTCAGGAAACCATTAGCACTATGTCTACTGAGCAATTGGAATAGGACTAGTGTAACCCAGAAATTGAATTTTATATTTAATTTTGTTTTATGTAAATTAGCATAAATTTATTCAAATTACCATATGGAGCTGGTGGTCCTGATGTTACACCATTCCATGAAGACTGTCGGTAGCATCAAGGGACAGGGCTTATGTCTTTCTTACTAGTCTATCTCCAACATTTGATACAAGCCTAGCATATAATAAAAACTAGAGAACTTCATGCATTAATAATGGAGACAGGATTTACCAAATCAAATATAACCCAAGGCAGAATTGAATAAATTCTAAATAAAAGTGCCAGCAGGATGCAGTGGGAATATAGAAGAAAAAGCTGAAAGACACCAGGACCATTTCTCAGGGGTGTTGGCATTTTAATAGGCCCCTAAATATGATAACCTGAATCTTAGGGTATACCCTGTAAAGATGCCCCAGGAAGGTGGATTACTCCTTATGCAATTTGAATGTGAACTTGCTATAGATAGTCTACCTTCTTAGATCTTAACCCATTACTTAAGTTGGGAACTTTTCAAATGCATTTTTATTTGACTTTCTGTGATTCAGTTACAGTGTCTACTGACCACTTGGATCCAGTGGAGGTAGCAGAAAGAATATCTAGTGGAGGAAACTGGTTCATTTTATTGTGCTCCTAACAATGACAATGAACTTGAGATTCCCCAAGACTGAAAGCATATTGCAAGTGAAATATTCTTTCAGTCTGCTGTGGATGATGTACCCAGTGTACATGACTTTTGCACAATGACTTTGTAACTTATTATAATCTATCTGGTTAGAAATATGTTCACTAACTCCTGTCAGGAGACATTAAGATCCTCTTCTCTCACTCTCCTCTTCCTCTCCACAGGTTCAGCCCCCATTTTGCACTCCAGATGAGTTCACCTACTGGGCGACGGACTGTGGGAATTATGCGGGAGCACTTATGTACTTCTGTTCATTTTATGTCATCATCGCCTACATCATGCTAAACCTGCTTGTAGGTAGGTGACGTCCACTGAGTGTTTTTCATCTACTTCAACTCAGGTACTTACATAATTAGGCACAATTTTCAAGTAATTATCCTGGATTGCTTGGGGCGGGTGTTTTATGGCATTAATTATAATTTGGTGCCTCTCAATCCAGAAGCTGGAAAGACCTTTCAAAGGCATGTAATGACAGTTGATTGCAATTTCAAGGATTAGACTATTTGTTATGATCACTGATTTCAAAAGAGCTCTCCCCACGAATTGAGTTGAACAAATATTGGGAACAAATGGAAGGAGGCTACCTTCATGGCCTCGAAATATCACAATTTTGTTTTTTAAAATACATGTTGTTCACCTAGCTTTGGGGCCACCCAGACCCCAAAATGGACTTTAAGAACCACCCTGGAACTCTCGACTCAGAGTGGCAGCCAGCTAGCTCAAAGGTCCATATGCACAGAAGTGTGTTTGTACCCAGGACCCTTGTGTTTTGGAAAGGCAAGAGCTGGATAAATAGCTCAATCCAAGTGTGAAACATGCCAACTTGGAAAACCTTACTAAAAGCACTTTCAAATTTTGGCTTTATTATGTGGGTGATAAGAGTCATTATTCAGAATAGCGGTTTGACTTTTTCTAAAAATAATAATAATAATAATAATTCTGTCATTGTCAAACTTCTGAATTTTTTTTTTTTACTTTTGTTTAGCTATAATTGTAGAGAACTTCTCCTTGTTTTATTCCACCGAGGAGGATCAGCTTCTGAGTTATAATGATCTTCGCCACTTTCAAATCATATGGAATATGGTGGATGATAAAAGGGAGGTAAGAGGGTGGGTTTGACCTCAGGTCCCACCCCACAGAGGCCTGCTGATGTGTCGCAGATGTTTAAGTCGTCCTGTGGTTGGCCGTTGACACGTGTTGGATTCTGAATGGCCGTTGGCAGCCTGCAGAAAGCTGTCACTGACCATTCAGCCCAGTATGCCAGGAGGGGAGAGGGACAGAATAGTAGTTCCTCCTCTTTAAACTTTCAAGAGGTTGGCAAGGGAGGATCAGCCTTGGGCTCAGGGCAGGAGAGGGGGTGGCACCGAAACCACCAAAAGCACATATATCACAGGCTCACAATCACCTCAGCCCCCAGCCACCATCCTGATGAAAAACACAAAGGAGTTACACGTGGAATCCAGAAGTGTTCTTTTGAGCTACTTCTGAGTTGTTATGTGACTGTTTTAACCATACGACATAGACAAAGTTTCAGCCCTAGCCAAAGCAGCAGCAGGCTCTTCTTCCTCCTCCTGGACTGAGTTGAACAAAGATTCTTCTTTCCTTCTTCCTGTTCCCACTTCTCTTCCCTTTCATCTTAGCAAATGCTCAGGCACAGACCTAGGCACTGATGGAAGGCCCTGTGCTTACAGAGATTCTGTTTTCCTAGTGAGAAGCAAAGAAGAAAATTATATTACGTATTTAGACTTGAGTCTAATTCCCAAGATATCTATCTCATTGCACAGGTTATACTGATATTTCCAAATCTGAAAAAAAAAAATCCAAAATGTGAAACCCTTGTGGTATCAAGCACTTTGGATAAGTGATACTCAATCCGTGTGATTTCAGGAAGTCATAAGGACTTGGAAGAAGGTAAAATGGCACAGGGGCAGAGCCAGGGCAGATAATTTAGCAGGGATGGTCATGCAGGCCCATCTGAGGAGCTAAAATGTAACCTCTAAAAACCAAGGGATAGGAAAATCTGAGGAAGATACAAAAATAGTTTCAGAAACAGTTGATGGAGAGCACAATGACCAACGAGGCAAGCAGGCCTTATAAATGAGGGGTTCTGGACTCTGGCCAGGAAGGCCCTCTCCACCCCTCTTTGTTGTCTCTCGTTCTTTGGTAGCCTCCCAGCCTGGGCTCCAGTCCCTTGGGATTTTCTTCTAAAAGAGTGACATATGCATGGGGCACTGGCCCAGCTCTGCGTCCTCTCATACCTCCATGACAGCTGGTCATCTATAGAAGCCTGCTTTCATCTAATTCACCTAGGGAAGACTACACCCCATTCACACTGAGATGCCACCTACTGGCAGGAAGCCATGGGTTACCAGTGTTCATCCAAAGACAGAGCCAGGGCTGGTGTGGTGCCGTGTGGAGCCCAGAAGGTTGCCATACTTTTAGAGTCTCAGGGTCCAGATCTGTTCTGACCAGAAGGAGGGCAGAGCTGGGAGCTTCCTTATCTTGAATGTAGGTGTTTCCATCATGGAGAAATCCCTGATTTCAATGCAAGAACAACTTGTAATAAATGTTAACAAGTCCAGCCACTTGATCATGCATGTGTGCACTGCCCCAGTGTTTGGTGGGAGGGCGTTCCCGGGTGTGGGTCCGGGGGCAGGGCTGGCTGAGTCAGGAGTCCTAAGGGTTGGCTCCAGGGGAAGAGAAGGGGGCTTTCCACCCTCCCGGGCTGCGAAGGCTGCAATGGGATCCTCTAGGACTGGAGAAGCCCCCGCAGAAGCTCCCGCTCAGGTGTTCATCCCATGCTCTCCTCAGTGCCCCTACGCCACCCAGCCTCCAAGGAGGCCCACAGCTTTCTTCCTGCCTGGTGGTAATGATGCCACATTTTGAGGAATAGCTCCTGCCTCTTGCTTTTTGACGATTGTATTCACAAGCCCGTGGAGAGACCCCACGGACCCCCGGGGCCTGCCCACGACTCACCAGCACTGTGCTCTGCCACCCAGGGCGTGATCCCCACGTTCCGCGTGAAGTTCCTGCTGCGGCTGCTGCGCGGGAGGCTGGAGGTGGACCTTGACAAGGACAAGCTCCTGTTTAAGCACATGTGCTACGAGATGGAGCGGCTGCACAACGGTGGCGACGTCACTTTCCACGACGTCCTGAGGTACCAGGCGGGTTTCAAAGCGCAGGGCCACAGCACTGAGCCCAGTCCAGAGACTCAGCCGTAACTCTCAGGGCACTTGTGAATGCAGTCATCAAGGACGTACAAAGCCTGGCATGCCACTCTGYCACGGTTATAAAGTAGGGTGACTCTTCTAGGAGTGAAGGGCACCTCACCAGGGAGAGGGCGGAAGCCGTGGCCTGACATCCTATAAGGGACAGGGAGAGGGACCTGGGAGAGTACAGTCCCTCCCACCCTCATTCTGCAATGAGGGAGGTGTCCTGAAAGTTATGGGACGTGCTCGTGGTCACCTGGCTCCATGGCTAGAATGTAGCTCTTCTCGCTCAGAAGGGTCACCTCCTCCTGGCCTGCTCCATAAGGATCGCCCGTGGCTGGTTGCACAATGCCCCTGGCCAGTTGAGACACTCCATTTTCCAGGCATTTAATGAGTACCCAGTCAAAGGGCCAAACTGAGATCTTGTCTTTCCTGCGCACTCTGAGAGGTGTCCTGTTGGTTTCCTGGGCTGCTGTAACAACATAGCATCAACCAAGTGGCTCAAAGCGTACAGTTTATTGTCTCGTGTTCTGGAGGCTGGAAGTCTGAGATCAAGCTGTTGGCAGGGCTGGTGGGGGGAATCTGTTCCAGAACTCCCCTGAGCTTCTGGTGGTTTCCTGCCAAGTTTTAGTTTGTGGAAGCAGCACCCCAATCTCCACCTTGATGTTAAAATGGTGTTCTCCGCATGTGTGTGTGTGTGTGTGTGTGTGTGTGTGTGTCTCCTTTTATAAGGACCCTAGTCACATTGGATTAAGTGCTCAGCCTGCCCTAGTATAATCTCGCCTTAGCTCAGTGCATCTCTTGTGACTCTTTGCTTAGTACCTCATGAGGTACTAGGGATTAAGGCCCCAACATACCTATCTTGGGGAGAAACATTCAACCCATAACAGCTTCTTAAATAGGATCCCATAAATAAAAATTCAGAAGCCTACAACTTGCAGGAGAAAGCAAATATGTTTTTATTTTCAACACTCACTCTCTGAAATATAGCATTTTCTTCATGATGAATGTAGGCAAAAAACCACGGCAGCATTAACAATACCTGCATCTTTGTCGTCAGTAGAAATCATTGAAATTTTCAGGGCATGTTATGACTGCCTTGGCTGGCTTCTTAAAATATCCTAATACTTCTAAGTTACAGTAGTCATTTGACCTCAGCCAGGTTTTACTATTTAATGGAAAAATAAAGACAGATTTATGTGACTATACCACCACCTTTGTAAAGACACTAATTTGAGAAATGTATTTCAGTACCGTTGGTTTCCTTGTAATACTGTGTTTGACTCGCAGTAGCTATGTAGGTCACGTTGAAGTACCTGACAAATTAGATGGGTGCAGTGTCACAAATTTGGAGAGCAACCTGTGATACAGAAATACACTTGTGGCTCGAAGATGAAAAGAGTTCAGATCAGAACAGGAAGGGCCTGGGGAAAGTTCTCTCCATTTTACCATTCACTCTTCAGATCTTCCAGGAACAAGTTAAAAAGGCAGGGAAAAAAAAAGGATAGAAAATAGGTGTGAATAACAGGCTGTCATCTCTCTCAGAATGTCACTTCGTCTTTCCTCCTACTGACAAATTGTTTTTAGGCTGAACGTGAAGCACGTAGTCATACTGTTGCTATTAATATTAGCATTCAACCTGTGTCCGTCAGCTCTTCATGGCTGTGACAAAATATCTGACTTAAGCTGAGGGAGAAAGATTTTTTGGGCTCATGGTTTATGACCAGATCAGTAGTGGTGGTGGCCTTCCTGTCCTCTAGCCTGGTGTCTGACACAGTCAAGCAATGCTGGGTTCTCAATCCATCCTCCTTGGTGGGAAAAGACTTTGCAAAGAAGAGAAGGCCAATGACCCGTGCTTGTGAGGACCTCCATTCTGCGATTTGGGCTCCCAGCAGGGCAGTGAGTTGCACCAGGACCTGCTGCATGACAGGGCTGTGTTCTCCTTGAGTCGTGGACCCCTGGTCCTGATGCTGTGATTGCCTTCTTGCCCTCAGGCCCCAGTGGAACACGTCAGCCCTGTTGGCCTCACTTACTACTCTTTGGGCACAGCCAGCCGAGGGCTAAATGGGGGTGAACATTGCTCTGCTGTGTATTCTCTAAAATCCATAAAGAAGATACAGAGGGATGTGTGAGATTGACAATGAGGGAAATGGGGTGGGGGCATGCATGAGGCACAGCCGAGGTATTAACCAGCTCTGATAGAGCCAACTGTGAAGGAAGTGTGGAGAGAGCAGGCCTCCTTAGGAAGCGTTCTGGAGTCTGATTCCACAGCTGGGGAGCCAGACCGTCACCTACCCTGTGTCTCCGTTGTATAAGCTCTTAGGTGGCACTCGCTACTACAAAGATCACACATTTTAACTCACGGCCTCACTCAGTAAGGTGGGTACCATGCCCGTCCTCATTTAGAGACAGGGGAAGGGAGATGCGGAAGTGACATCACAGCCCAAGCTACCCAGCTGTTAAGGGGTGGCACCCCACACAACCCCCGTGGGCTGGGTGACGTGCTGCCTGGGTCTGCAGACCTCTGGGGGCCTGAGCCCAGGTGAGGAGACCTGTCTGCTCTCGTGCTCCCCAGCATGCTGTCCTACCGCTCAGTGGACATCCGCAAGAGCCTGCAGCTGGAGGAGCTCCTGGCGCGGGAGCAGCTGGAGTACACCATCGAGGAGGAGGTGGCCAAGCAGACCATCCGCATGTGGCTGAAGAAGTGTCTCAAGCGCATCCGGGCTGTGAGTGAGCCACAGCGCCTGGGTGGGGTCCCCGTCCTGGCAGAGAAGGAGGGTCAGAGGCAAGAGCTCCATGAGTCACAGGCACTCCTGGGACTAGCCTGACGCTCCTGGAGAACGTGTCACTTGCGGCCACCTCGGCTCCAGTCCAAGCTCAGCCTCATTCCCTTCAGTGGTCCATAACACGTTTCAAATGAACCCCATTTTCATAATGTAACGTGAAGATTTAAATAGCAGTTTATAGGTATTAAAATATTTATAAATTCAACTGCACAAAACTCCAAAATATCTACTGAGACTGAGTTTACTACTTTCAAATTGCTGCTAAAAATCCCAACATACCCTTGGTGGTGGTGTTGGGTCTATAAGATCACCTCCTGTGGACTCTTACTGATCCATTTATAGCTGCCCAGAATATAAGCTTATGCAAATCTCTAACTCATAAATGAATGAACATATACCGTGTGGGCATACGCTGTGTAAGTTTTTGTTTTTGTTTTTTTGTGGTATTAGGGATTGAACCTTAGACTGCTCTACCACTGAGCTACATCCACAACTCTTTCATCTTTTATTTTGAGACAGGGTCTTGCTAAATTGTTGAGGCTGGCCTCAAATTTGTGTGGTCCTCTGGCCTCAGACTCCTGAATCATTGGGATTTCAGGCATGCACCATTATACCTGGCTACATAAGACTTTTTTTTTTTTTTTAATCCTGCTCTTCAGAACAACATCAACTACAGAAACATGCATTTCTATTGGAGGAGTAAAGGTCCCCAGAGAAAAGAAATCATCACTTCCTTGGGCGAGGCCAACTGCCCCCTGCCACTCTGGCACAGCTGGCCAGTGATGCGGGAGGCAGGGAGTCCTGGCTTCAGTGTAGGCCAAGACAGACAGGCCTGCAGGATTGCTACTGGGCAGGTCTGCGGAATCCAGAACCAAAACAGGGGCAGAGGTTTCCTCACCCACCCAAGTTCTCAGCTGCTTACAACTTGCAGGAAAGGGAGAGCTGGCACCAGTTTAATGAGCACAGAATAAAATCAGAAGGGAAAAACCGGAACAMAAAGAAAACATACGCTAGTATCAATGAACATAACAGGTCAATTGTCATGCAAATGAAAAGGCAGGCAAAGCATTTCCTCAGTATCAAAGCCCTCCTTTCTATTAGTCTACCCGGTCCTTGAAACAACTCCATGGTTTGGAAGTTCTTAGGAGGTCACCAACCCTACAGATCTTTGGAGAGGGGAGGAGAGAGGGACTGGCATGTGGGGCAGGGATGCTGGGCACATTTTTCTGTTACTGAAGGAACGTTTCTTCCCACAGAAACAGCAGCAGTCCTGCAGCATCATCCACAGCCTGAGAGAGAGCCAGCAGCAAGAGCTGAGCCGCTTCCTGAACCCTCCCAGCATCGAGACCACCCAGCCAAGTGAGGACACCACTGCCAACAGCCAGGATCCTAACATGCCACCCAAGGTAGGACCTTGGAGCAGACGAGGTTTGTGGCTTTGCCATTCAGGAGTCTGTTGTGGCTATTCAAAAGGTCTTTTTGTCCGATAGGTTAGTTCAATTCCTGTCACTATGACAAGGTACCTGAGATAATGAACTTAGAAAAAGTGAAGGTTTATTTTGACTCACAGGATTGGAGATTTTAACCCACGGGGTAGTTGGCTCTATCTCTTTGGGCAGCACATCCTGGTGGAGGATGTGAGTTCATGACAGCTAGGAGGAGGAGGCCATAGTCCCAACTGACATCCCCCACGACCTGACTCCCCTCCACTAGGCCCCCTCCTAGAGGTTCCACCACCTCTGGACAGCGCCACAGGCTGGGGACCAAGCCTTCCCGGCATAGGGGCCTTCAAGACCTGAACTGTAGCATGTAGATACTTAAAAAACGCGAATGCCCTGAATTTAATAATGCTGGGCTTTTAAATTTGTTTTCTAGGTTTTGTTTCTATTTTGCATAAAGAGTTAGTTTCGTCTCAGGGCTGAATTTGAGCCTGGAGAGATCACGTGCCTCAGAGGAGCATGGTTTACCTGGGGCGGCAGCCTGAAGGTTTTCTTCCCCTTGTTAAGGCATAGAAATTTGCACTCCAGTCAGTGTAAATGTTTGCACGTGTTTTTCAACCTTCTTCTCTGCTGATCAGACTCATCGAGGGTTTCTTCTTCTTAGCTGGGTATCTGAGAAGCACCTGCCACTCAGGAAGATGGCTTGAGGAGCTTCTCCTAAAACACCAGATATTTTCACTTCTACACTCAAATCTACACGTCTATAAAACATCACAGGCATCATCAGTATCCTGGAAAGCCCTGTCTGTGTGAGACACAGCTGGCAGGGGCTTCCTCTCCTTTATGAGGTCCCAATTATGGTTTGCAGTTAACCACATGGAGTCTGTTCAGCCTTCTGCACAGAGACCCCCAGCTTGTGGTGTGTAGCTGCACAACCACGGGCCAAGATCTGACCTGAAGCCTAAGGCCCCAGGGCCTAGCAGGAGGCTCCAAGAGACCCTCTCTGGCCCTAGCTGTGTCATGTGGATTTCATATTGTTGGCTCCCTCATGTATTCCAAAATAGCAAGAAGGTCCAGAGGTTCCCAACGCATAGAGATGAGAAATCCTTGAGCAGATTAGACAGAAATGCCGAATACCCTGATTCACCATCACACCCTGGACACATGAACTGAATTATCATACGCATCCCATATGTATGTACAAATATCTTCAACCAAACATGCTTTAAAAAATAAGAGCCATAACTTCCTTTAGTACCCCATAAATATGCATGAATATTGTGTGTCAAGTGAAAATATCTTTTGAAAAAGTCACGACTGCTGGATTCCTCTCCCACACAGACGAGCAGCCAGCAGCAGCTCCTGAGCCCCACTCTGTCCGATAGAGGAGGAAGTCGGCAGGATGCATCAGAGGCTGAGAAGCCGCAGAGGAAGGTTGGGCAGTGGTGTCGGCCCTCTGGTAGGTACATCAGTCACTGTGCCATCGATGGGGACCTTTAACAGGCATTTACTCTCTTTGTGTGCTTTGGGTCTTAAATTTGAAAATATGGGTTTGTATTAGTCAGCTCACTCTTACTATAACCAATAATGGAGATAATCAACTTAAAAAGAAGAACAGTATATCTTGTCTTCGTTTTGGAGGTTTCATTCCATAACTAGTTGGCCCATTGCTTTGGGAGCTGGGCAAGACCCCGCATCATGGTGGGGACATGCATGCTGGGTAGAGGAAGTCATATACCCCGTCCCAGCCAAGCACTTAGCTAGCATGTGCAAGGCCCTGGATTTGTCCTTAAGCACTGAAAAGGGGAAAAGAGAGAAAGAAAAAAAGAGAGCGCTAAAGAGGAAGAGGTTGGTGTCCCACAATCTCCTCTCAGGGCATGCTTCCAATTATGTTAAGAGTCCCACTGGGGCCCACCCTTAAAGATTCCACCACCTTTCAACAGCGCCCCGCTGAGGACCCAGCCTTTAGCCCATGGGCCTTTGTGGAACATTCCAGATCCAAACTATAGCAAAATCTGTGCCTGATTATTTTCAAACAGTGAAACGATAAAAAAAAAAAAAATGCATCCCCTTATCAAAAACAGTCTTCTCAAAATAACTTCTCTAAATGTAGTGCCTTGGCTGTCCTCTTTACTGCCATGGCTGAGAAGGCAGCTCCTGTTCGCAAAGTGAGATGGGTGGCAGCCAGGACCCAGAAAGGAAGGAGGGAGAGGGGTCCAAGGGCTGCCTGCATGCGCTCAAAGCATCTCACAGAGGGCCAGATTCACTTTCTCTTAGAGGGAATGGGCAGAGGTGATCCCTCAGAAAATGACACAAAGTTCTTAAAAAAGACACAGGCCCTACTTTACCTCAGCTGACATGGGTAGCTGTGCAGCTCACCGTCTTCACRCGGTCTGCCTCGCCTCAGTGGTAGCAGTGATGCTGCCCACCACAGCACTCATGTAGTGCTTACTGCATGCCTGGCACTGTCCCAGTGTGCTCCTTAGTTTCCCTCCTGGAATCTCACAATTCTATTATTTTCAAATGTTTCGACGATTAAGTGAAAGAATTTTCTTTTAAAGGAACATGGAAAACCAGTATAATTGATTCAGGACACGGATGTCAGGAGAGCACTGCTAGGTACAGCCCAGTGTCCTCGGCACATGGTTGTCACTTTAGAGAACTGAGCCCAGTAAAGTAGGGCTTCCTCCTGCCCTTTAACTGTGCCCAACTTCAGCCCATCCCAGGTGAGGAGGTGCAGGATGTAGGAAAGTCCTCGCAGCGTAGATATTCCACCAAGCSATGACAGTGAAACACCTTTTGGGGCTAGAGGTGTTCAGTGGCTCTTCACTAAAGTTGCTGCCAAAGACAACGTCCTGTTTCATATCCAGGAGTCTCTTACTCAGGGATCAGAGATGACCTCGCTGTTCAAGGAGCCAGGAGTGATGGGAACAAGCCTGAGCAGGTGGTGGGCCAGGACAGGCAAAGCCTGAAATCACTAGCTGAGGAGTTTCCACTTCCTCCTCCAGGCAGGTAGCAGCCTCTGAGCAAGATGCACCTCAAGTCTGTGTTTATGGAGGTTGATGTGGCAGCAGTCCAGAGCAAATTGTCCCGGGCAGCACCCAGAGGCAGGTTACAAGCTGGAGGCTGTAACCGTAATCTGGCCCTGGTGAGAGGGGACGATGCTGAGGCCTGGGCACTTCAGGGACAGATTGGAAAGCAGCTCTGGGGAGAATGTGCCATCTCCCATATTCACTTAATGTCAAAAATGCCTCCCTCCAGTGGTCTGTGCCCACAAGACCCYAAAGACAAATGGTGATGCAAGAGCCACTGGGGACATGCTGATTTTGTGAAGTGGAAGAGAAAGCAATGAGCATTTTAAGGGGACGCTAACAATGCACGAGGTGTCCTGCTATGCACTTCTGAGGTCATCCCACATCATCTGTTTGAATCTTCACATAGTGCAAGGGAGCATTTGCATTCTCTTCCTTTTACAAAGGAGGAAACTGTTGGAGGTGTGCACTTGACTGTGGGGACCCTAAGTGACATCTCTCCTTGCACACCCTCACCATGTCCCTCCTTACCATCCACGACACTATCCTTTCTTTTCCTCTATTTATTTTTTCTTTACATGCATATGCTAATGAGCACCAGCTCACACATTTCTATGACACTCCTGTTTACCCAGATTGTAACTCTTAGTGATTTTCTGGTTTTCATAATTATCCTGAAGTGACGGGGCAAGCCCCATATTTTTTTAAGTGCTATTATTAGTCGTCCATGAGTACAATTTACAAATAAGAGAATAAAGAATCTAATGCTGAAAAGCTTTCTCTCTCAACATCTGGGGACAGGACTTAGGAGCCRAAAGCATTGCAGAGGGAATGTTGTGTGTTCTAGAAAGGGCTGYCGCAGTGAAGCTGTCCCAAGTTGCTCACAGGACTCTTTGCTAATTCCACAGACCCCAGTCTACCAAGCCAGCCACCACCTGCTGTCACCTTCCCGTGTGGAGAGAGGATCAAAATGAAATCTGTGGTGTGCAAGATGAATCCTGTGACGGACGCAGCCTCCTGTGGCTCTGAGGTGAAGAAATGGTGGACGAGGCAGCTGACGGTAGAGAGTGACGAGAGCGGAGATGACCTTCTGGATGTCTAGGTGCAAAGTAGTACAGAAGGAGTCCTAGCAGGCAGAGGGGAAGACTGCTTTCTCGTATTTTCATGTCGTGTCCAGTGGGCAGCCCATATTTGATATATAATTTAATTCCAACTGGGCGGAAGATATTCTTAATTGGTTTTCTTCCTGCCATATGAAGGCATAAAAATCAGTCTGTCAAAGCTGTGTTTGACAGATTATCATCATATATCCGAGAAAAATTGGGGCTGGGAGTATAGCTCAGTGGTAGAGCACTCGCCTAGGATTCATGAGGCCTTAGGCTAGATCTCCGGCAGTACAAAAAGTAAAAAAAAAAAAAAAAAAGAGGAAAGAAAAGAAAGAAAATCTGTATAATGACAGTATTGATAATATTAGAAACTATACCAACAACAGATGTAGATATTTAAAAATGTCATATATCGTCTCTGTAAACTAAAGGCGTATCTTCATGTGTGCTCTTAGACATCATTACCCCCCTCCAAGAGTGCTAAGCCCAACGTGGCTGGTGTTCATGCTACAGGAGCCGCGGCTTCCTCCACTTTTTTCCTCATTTCCACTAGAAGTACTTCTCCTGGGAGAATTTCTTATCAATGATTGATCTGAAAAGGTCAGCACCAAGCTCATGCCTAAATGATAGTAGTTTCACAAACTACAGATTCTGAATTTTAAAAAGACTCTTCTTTCTCTCATGTTATTTTTTTTAATATGCACAATATATTTGGAGGTCAGAACGGAAATTGATTTCTGTCTTCAGTTATTCTAAGATGATGTTGTCTGCTTCCAAGAAGACTGCATGTGCAGGTCCCGGGCAAACAAAGTGACCCTGATGCTAAGTGGTTTAAAACAAACCAGTGGGCAAATCACTTGAGAGACACAGGGATGCAGAAATACCATGTTTCTTAAAAAGCCCTTAGGAACTGAGTTTCGCAAAAAAAAAAAAAAAAAAAAAAAAGGAAATGTCTGCATGCATGGCTTCATCATTGGCTTCACTTCTCTGTTTTGCCAAAAATCAACAGGGACATTCTGGTGTGATCCCAACACATCGGTACTACATTAGATTCCAAGTGAGTCCCCTGCTACCAAACCTCCTGTGGAAATAACGGTGCCATGCAAAATCTTACTCTGAATCCCCAGTTTTGGTACCCCTATGAATTAATTGCATTTTTCTTCAACCMTCAGTGGTCCATGTCCTCTGGAAAAACTAGAAATGCAAAACGATTACAAAGTGCTGTTGGGTTCTCRTGCTGGGTCAACCAAGTAGACATGAATCGGGGCCTTGATATTATTGATTGAAGATTTGCTGTTTAGGTTAATTTTAACAGACTGATTATCTAAGAATCCTTTCACTCCCACATCGTTTTATGATCTCTTTCTCTTTGTTGGACATCCTTCATGTAGCCAAATATCACATTCCTCTGAACCACAAATGTAACTTCGTGGTGACAATGTATTGTTTATATGGTTCTTTGTGTGTGTGAGATAATGGGCAGCTAAGTCAGTGCAGCCACAAGAATTTTATTTGGTTTTATGTTCATTTGGAGTTTCCTTTTTGTACATAAAGAGATAAAATAAATATTGGATTTGTAAAAGAATTCACACTAAATTGATCTTTTTTAAACCCTTTTCTTGTGTGTGGTGGGGAGCATTTGGTAGCTGGCACTTTGCAAAACCTGTCTTGAATATTCAGTCCATAATTGGTTGGCAAAAACTCTGACCCTGGTAGTCATTTCAGCTCAATTCCCTGAGCCAGAATGTCCCTTTTATGTTTGTGCTGATAAGGCCGAGTGCGTGCCATGGGCCTTCCAAACCCAGTGACGCTGGGAAGGCAGGACCACGGCCAGGGCACAGGGCTGTGCTAGTGCTGGATAAAAACAAGGGTTTTCTCCTCGGTTCATCACACTTGAGTGATACAGCTTCATTCTCACAAAACTGCTGAGCCTTCCTGCAACCTCTGTAATTGATGTTCAGGAGAACACCATTCATACTGCAGAGAATCGAGCACAGAATAGCAATGTACTTAAAGCCACAGCACCCTCCACATTCAGTTAGATGGAGCAGTGAAGGACTTCCTGCAGGGCCTTACCTCTGCAAATTTCCTGAAGCAGCAGAGCAGATGGCAAGCCAGAGGAGAGAGGTGCCACCCTGTTTAAAGTTTACCCCTCGATATGTGAACATRTGAATGCTTCAGTGATGCAGCAGGAGAGCTGAGGCCACAATGTTCCCTGGGCCTTAGGGAAGCCTCCTGTCATCTTGCCACCCATTGCCTGTAATTAAGGAAATGTCAGTTCTCAGGGCACCAAAAGCCTAAGGAGTGGAATACTTGAGACTAAGCTCCCAAGAGAGAAGAGACCACACATACAGTGCCCATATGGCAATTCAAGGGCACTCAAAGGAACGGGCAGTACATAATGGCTGGGCTGGTGCCACTCACTCTGTTCTTGGTGGTGGTTCCAGACCAATTCCCATCAGCAGTGACTGGCTGTTTGTGTCCTGCGCATGCTGAATAAGTAAGGGCACACAGGAGAAAAACCACTATTCGATGCCTTGCACAAAAGCAGTTTCTAAGGCAGTCCATGATGTGTTTGCCTGTTTCTTTGTTGGAAGCAGCACARTGTAGATCCATGGCTTTTAATACATTGTCCCGCCATGGCACTCTTTCTCTAATAAACTCTTTCAAAGGATCCCAACGTTCTAACTGAACCAAAGCAGAATATCCCTAGTGGAAGTTTGGGGTAAAGAACTCCATTCACTTGGCATCTTCTCACYTACTGTTATGATTTGTGACCCACAATGATAAGGGGAAGCCCTAACCCCTGGCAYGTGTGAATGTGACTTGGAAATAGGGTATTTGCAGAGGTGATGGGTCAAGTTATGATGAGGTCATAATGGAGTGGATTCTTAGTCCAATAATCCTGATGTCCATGTAAGAAGAGACACACAGGAAAAGAAGGCGCTTTGAACTCGCAGGGAAGGCGCTATGTGAAGGCGAAGGCGAGGCAGAGACTGAGGAGCTGCTGGGGCGAGCAGCACCTGGGGAAGGCCAGRAAGGGTCTGCCCCACAGGACACAGAGGGAGCACGGCCCTGCACAGCCTTGATTTTGGACTGAAGACCTACAGAATCATGACAGAAGAAATTTCCATGATTTCAAGCCACCCAGTTTTGTGACCCTTTATATAGTAGTCTTAGGAAATTAATGCACACTCCCAACTCACACCTGTCCCCAAAGATGGCCCAAACCATCCAGTACTCCAAGGAACACAGTTTGGAAACCACCCATCCGTATAGATCAAAGATCGTGAGCTGGCAGTACGACACATCTTTCAAATCCCAGATTTACTGGTTACTTTTTTTGTAATCTTGGATGCGTTTCATGCCCTCTCTGAGTCCAAATTCATCAGCTTGCTTAAAAAATGAGAAGGCCAGAGAAGGAATTTACTCCCTTCACTTACTGGATGAGTTGGTTCTGAGCTGCTTGGGCCACGTCCTCCGAATCATTACTAGCTGTCTCACCTGCCTACCGGAATCACCAGCCGGCCCAGCGTCAGCCTTCTGCCTTCCCTGCTCAGGTCCCAGTCAGGTTTGGAGTCTGCCTCAGTCTGATATTTTAAACAGTGAGTTGATTTGGGGCCATTTTTTTTTTAAAACACAGTTCAACCTCCACAGAGAGAATTTTTATAAAATGCCTTTTTGGTTCCACCCCTAAAAATTATCTGTATGAGCTCTCTTTCTTCTTTCCTTTTCCTCTTCTTCTTTCAGCTTTTACAGAGGGTGACATCTGGGTAAAGAGATGGGGTTTGGTTTGGTTTGGTTTTTAAAAAGGTCCTGAAACCTTAGTTTACTGTGAGTCGTTCAAGTCTCTCCTCATGAATCTGAGTCAGMAAAGGGTCTGACTTGGGTCCCTTGAGGGATGGAGGAACAGAAATACAGATGACAAGTCACGCACACCAGCTTGTGCTGGAAGGGGCTGCGGGAAGCGCTCTCTGCACCCCCCTCAGCGTTCCCTCTTGGCTGGGCTGGTTGATCTTCCTAGGTCCTGCCAACCTTGAGACACAGTCCTTGACCAGTGGCTTCCATGCTCACATCCTGCCCAGGCCTTTGCCTCAGAAGTTCCTCTCCGTGATGCCAACATGCAGAGGGCATTGGGGCTGCAGAGGAGGACCCCAAATACAGCAAATGATGCTGGTTGTGGCAAGCTGCCTTACTTTCCCTCACCTTCCCACCGGTGTAGCTCCGCCTTCCTGTCTCCCTGTTATGCATCCCCTGACTCAGAGAAGCAGATGTCCCTTCTCATGCTAAACTGCCACCTGCCATTCAGGCTCCATCCTTCCTCACTCCTGTTAGGAACTCCTCCCCCACAGACTTCTCCCTCCTGGGTCTTTGCTGAGCTGAATGCCTCCCTCTTCAGAATCCCTGACAAGGTCTGTTACTCCCTGAACCGGTCCCAATACTCACTACCCACTACCCTTTCTGCTTGGTCCATTCCAGATCCCTTGGCTGCCTTTGATCTTCTCCAACTGCAAGTTATTTCTAATCTTGAAGACCTCATATTTCCTGGATCCCACCCTCCTCACTCCCTCATCTCTGATTAACAACGGGGAAGCAGCTTATCAAATGATGTTTGGAATCTTTGTGGGGGGAAGAGTGTGGAAGAGGGAGTCAGTCTACTAATTTAATGAATTCCAGGCATTCAAAGGGAAGGCCACAGGATTGGATTTGGTCAAGGGCATGAAGAAATGACTTCCCACCACTTCACAGGTCTGTAATCAGTACAGTCAGCAGAGCAGGGGAGGGAGTGACATTATTGTAATAATGCAAGAATGGCCTGTGTCTTACKAGGACTGCACTGGAGGCAATGTGTAATGTAGAATATAGGAGGGAGCGAGAAGGCAGGATGAATGTAATCAGCCCTCCATATCCCCGGGTTTGTCCATTGATTCACTCAGAATCATTCAGAAAAAAATAATATGTCTGTATTGAAAGAAGGCCCAGCCACATAATCTTA